TGTGTATGGTGGTCGAATCATATGGGTTTAGTTTCTATTGCCTAATCTATATTACGTTGAGTTGGACAACTCATGTTTACAACTACATGTGATATGCCTAATGTGATTAGATGGATGAGTAGATTTATTTTCATCAGAAAGATTATAGGAAGCTAAAGAATAGTCATTATAATTACAGATTTGGAAAGGATTTTTTAAGTTTACATTACATGAAATATCAAAAGCATTTGCACTCTTTCAAAATCTTGTTCAGAAGATGATGTCTTTTTATATCACCACATAGAATTCCCAATACTGCATTGTTTACGATTTACACAATTTACAAATGTCTCCCTGTATGAATTAATAGAGGTACTGCCGTAAACTGGTATTTGAAGAAGTGCATATTTTGAAGAGTATTTTCAAATTGTGCACCTAAAATTGTTGGTTGGTTAGAAATTCAAAGTTTCAGAAAGGATTCTCTTTATATGATAGTTTCTTCCATGATCCATCGAGATGCTTGATGCTAAGCAACTTTGGCTTTGCTTTTGGAAACAGTTGTCATGGCAACACTGTAAATGAATATGGCATTGAGTGTGTTGTTATGACGATTGGTGCACTTTAGGTGATGGTTTCAGATCAGTGCGTGAAACTCTATGTGAACCTCAGTACAGGGCTGGGAATTGGTAATGCATACACATCACTCGCCATATCATGTGATAGGTAGGACTACTGCTAGAGAATTTGATAGGGTGAATTGAGGCCTTTTTTCGAGAAAGGTACAATATATATGGAAAGAATGTGCACTTCATCGCAAAAAGGAGAAAATAGCATGTGGTTGTGTTTAAAATTTTCGTTTGAAACTATATTTAAGGAATCTGAATCAATTTTTTTGTATGAAAGGAATTTACCTCAATCTTATGAAAGTTATTAACCTCAATCCTGTTTGATTGAAATCTTCGGAACGGAAAATGTTGGGAAGGTTTATTTCATTGTATGAGAAATTGAATAAGGACATTGTGACCATATAAGATAATATCTGATATATGGTTTTTTGTTTATAAAAATTTGCAGGATGCATACATTGCACAACTGCACTTGGTATAATGCTGGAAGTTGATATGTTGGCACAATATCCTAGTGTTCGTGCAATGTGTTTTGAGGCAATTTGTGTGCTACTTGTAAATACAATATGGATAATTTGTTGTGCAGCAGACAGAAGGGCCTTTATGTTGACCAGGGCAGCGTGTCACAAAACTTGTCATCAGTGTCAAATGACAGTCTTTTTTATAAGCTACTGAAATCCTTGCTTCTGCTTGGTTATCAGCAAATTTGTCACTGATTTTTGTCATTTGTCATCGGAAAAAGGCTTTGTGAAACGGGCCCCAGGTCTACTAATTATGAACGCACACTATTGCATTAAGCCGAAGGTTGTTCGAATTAAAATTTCTGTTATCTCAAAAATATATGGTTATTTGAGTTTACCATCTATTTTCTCTGTTATGTGAGCTGATAAAGAAAGAATTCCCAGTCATGTTTGAAAATATTGTATGACATGAATGAAAATTTAAAAACCTTAGAAGCAAGTTATGAGAAATGTGGCATTCGCACATGCTAATGACCTCCTTCCATTGGCACAACGAATTGTGATTATCAAACGTTTCCTTCGCTTGAACACCAGTGCATGAAAGTACTTTTCCATGTATGTCATCTATCAATAATTAACACCATATAATGTGCTGTATTGTCTGACAATAATGCAATTGAGGTTATGCCAAGGCTTAGACCTCATTGAGAGCATATTTCCGCCATTTTTAGCGCAGATTTGCTAACCATCATCACCTATTGAACCGATAACGAGGGTGTAATTAAGGCCATCTTACACTGTTTAGGGAGCTAATTGAATTATCTGCTTCCCCTTCAGTATCATCACCTGCATGTCATGGTAACTGTGATGATCTATTTTTAAGGACATGGGATAATGTTGGTAACATTAGGCGCATCTTTATCAGCTCGAGATCGCCAAATAGCCCGCTATTTCTGATTTGGGAAATAACCACAAAGTTACAAATTGCGTCTTCATCAGCTTGAGATTTGACCTTGAAACTTGAAACTCGACATTGAGAAATTAGCTCAAGATATTTTGCTCAGCGTTCGCCGCATAGTGCAAGTCTTCGGTCTGGTGAAGACGCACCGGACAATTAGCTGGATATTTTGCCAAATAGTGGGATATTTTGCAAACTATCCCAAGATATCTTGGGATGACAATCCCGACCAAATATCCCACTAATTGCAACTTCGGGCTGATGAAGACGCAAATTAGCTGGATAGTTGCGATCGGGATAGTTCAAATAGCTGGATATTTGGCAATCTCGAGCTAGTGAAGACAGGCCTATGGTAACTGTGATGATCTATTTTTAAGGACATGGGATAATTAATGTTGGTAACAGTGGATAGGTATTAAATCAGTGCCTTGTGATGTTGAAGCCTGATATGGTCTCATGCTGAATATTGTAGCATTTTCATGTGATACGGAGCCTCCGCAGGGATTAATTTGCAGTGTTTAATCCTGTGGTTGCCAGAGTTGCAAACATGAAGCTTAAAAGCACACTGTCCTACTTGTAGATACTTGCTCCCTCTATATAGAAAACTTCCCCAATCCGGGCCTGTTGGTCCCCCATGATCCTCTTTTTCTTATGTTAAATGAGAGCTGAGTTAATGAGATAGCCACCTGTCACAGTGACCTTGCTGGCTCGCTGGGCAGTCTAATCCCTTCTGGCTGAAGTAGTAAAGCCTGCCTTTAACCCCTTCCTTTAACCCCTTTCTTAACATGAGCTGCAAATTCTTTTCCAGAGCTTAGATATTAAACGTCAAGTTTTTACTAAAATTAGCTATTTCTTTTGTCCAACAAATATATGGTCTTAGTTTAAACTGCTAATAGAACACATTGGAACAATGAAACCCAAAGTATCATCTTCAAACTTTGAGAAATTTTCTCTCTTGTGTATTTGCTTTCTTACTACATTTCATATATGGTAGCCTCCTAGTGATAAATCTTCCAAATTTCCCCAAAATGCTTTTGTTTGTTTTATATGTTTAAAAATAACACACAATTGTTCATTAAAGTAGGTTTCATTACTTATCTTGATTATATAATGGAGCAAATTTCAATAGTTAATACATCATGGCACAAGGATCATAAAGGGTACCTTTGATACAACTTGCCGTGATTATTGCCCTTTAGATGGACTAGGCCCTAAGCCAGGTTTTAGTACATAGCTAAGATCCTACCACCGGTAATTAGCCGAGGATCATTGCCTACAAAATATTGAGACATGATTTTAAAAAGACATGAAAATCCCCTGATCTTGATCTGTTTATGTAAATTCTCTTCAAGTTCCAAATGAGTGGTACTTGATTCAAGAGTTCCTCAACCCTGGTAATCATTTCAGGACATTAGCCAAATCCTGTTATCCCCCCTTGTTTGCGGCAGTCAGGAGTTTGTGTCCAATCAGCATTCTGTAAGAGGTCGACAGTTGCAACAAGCGAGCTTATGAACGCACAAGATCAATGTCACACATGATTCACCTCCAGATTGGCTCAGATTTTTCAGCGTGGACGTGACAAAATAGCACGCGCCACTTTCCGAATTCAAAGCATTTCGTTAGCGAGGAGTCCCAGGAGGCAGACGCTTAGAGCGCCTAGGTGGCTGAGCTATCTGCTTCTTTGGATTTAAAGAAGACGGTCTTAATTACTGGAAGTCAGATCCTGAGCTGCGCGTATGGATTTTCTGTGGAATTTCAGATTTAAGAAGAGTCTGACTAGCCATATCCTGTAAGAAGCTGTTCCTACTGCAAACAACTCCAGTGACTACTTTCTGTCTTCCTTTTCTATGTATATAGGACATGTGAAACTGTGAGAGATATTCTCTGTTTACAAGCATTTGTGCTGTTTGTTTACAGAGCTTTGGTTAATATTCCCTGAAACTTGAACTGTACAAATCATATTTTTATGAAAAGGAAACAGAATGTTTTGTTTGCAGAACTGATTGTTGAAGGATAAGAAACGTTGTAAAGTGTTTAGGGTATGCTGCCTACGTGAGCAAACACCGAATGTACCAGAGCCCTTCAAGGTGAAAGGTTTTTCTGCAAGGAAAATCCTGGTTTATTGGACTCGAGTGTCATCAAAAACCAAAACATTGACAGATGAATTCCTCTTCATGCTTTTTCTATGAAATCAAACTCTTTTGAACTTCAAGGAAAGAATTTACATATCTATTGTGCGAATGTCGCAGGTTGCTCATTTCCTTTGAAAAGATCTGATGAGTGAACAGTTTTGATCTCTACAGGAATTGAGAGGCAACAAGTTTCTGCTGCGTGGATATGTTATTGCCACACTTCTGAAGGTCCTCCATCTTACCCTGGCTGCCATTTCCTTCTTAAGAATACCTGCTTGAACCTGCTTGACCATCATAATGCTTTATGTCATGGTAACCTTTTGGAAAGTACAAAAATCGATGAACATCTATGAATAACCAAGTACTTTCCCATCTCGAGGTTATCGCTTCAGAGATATCTCTGTTGTCAGGTTTTGTGATTTCTTGGAGAACCGGAACACTCTGCATGTTCAAAGATACACCGATCAACGAACATCCCAGATTTCAAGGAGTCTTTGACAATCCCCAAACGTGTTAAGGGGTCAGATGTTTCGGTTGATGGGTTTTCTCAGGGTTTACCAGGTTCCTTGAGGACTCTTGAACGGTGCTCAAGATGGGCAGACTTCAAGACGAACATGGTTTTGAGCAGCGCACCATTTGCCTCAGGCGCAGGGCATCAATAGGTTTGTAGCACGTTTTCCAATTAATCCCTCGCTCATCAAGATTATTTATGGAAAATGATGAGATTATTTATGGAAAATTATGAGATTTGATTGATGGTGCATTGTTATGTTAAATCATGTAAATTTGTACTAAATAAAGATTTTGTGCTTCTAGTGAAAATTTTAATGCATAATTTGAAGTTGAGCGTATAAAAAACTATGAATAATTTTAAGCTAAATATGTGTACATTTTTATTAACTTATTTTTTTCAAAAATGGAATTTGCCATTGCAAGTTGACTGCTGAAGGTTCATTATCCATCTACTTAATACATTCAAATTTGTTTTGTCTGTACATTTACGAATGCTATAGTATGTAAGAGGAGAAAAGAGATGAAAATTATATGAGCAGAGAAGAACAAGAATGAAATAAAAGAACAAGACACAGAAAATAGAGTTGGAGTTATGATGTTAAAGAAAATATAAAATCTGGGAAAACAGATACAAAGAGCATTGAGAATTTAGATATGGTATATGGAAGAAAAAAAAAGATACAAGCTATCATTGCCTCAATCCAGACAAACCTGTAATTAATATGAATAAAGTATGTAACATTAAAAGCATAAGTCAAAACCCATGAGGAAGACTATAATTTTATGACATGATAAATAATCATTGTTCTTGTACTTTGGTCATGACCCTGGTAATCAAATGGCAATCAAGATTTGCTCAAGTACTACATCTAGACGCAGCGCGCCCAGTCCCCAAACAGTCGAGAGGAAACCAGCGAGCATTGCAGGTTTCCGTAGTCCGGACATCCTCCGTTTGGGCTCTATATCTCCTGGTTTCTGTAAAACCATTCTTGGCTGTTCCACAATGGCATTGAAACAAAAGTGGACATGCCATAGAAGTGTTCCCTACCAGATATTCATCAGCGATTTTAATAGTGGAGCACCTTGCGTGCTCCTCTACTAGTTCCTGACTTTGGAAGATCCACTCAAAATTCACATCTTCTAAAGGACTTGTATACTGAACTTCTTGCGAGTCAGTCTTTGATATTACCTCTGCAGTCACTTGTATCAGACTTTCAGCAAGTATTCTGTGTTTTGTACGGCATAGGAAACACCGCACATTCTGTTCTTACTATCTACCTCCAATAGGGCAAGTTTGATACAGCGTTTTGCTACAACGAGTGTAGTACAACAGGAAACCAAACTACAGATATTGCTCACAAATTGCGTCGCATGTCGACAGGATTTCTTTTCACTCTTTGTACTTGTGCCATTGCTCAATTTCCTTTGCATTTTGTAAGCCAACAATTTCCCTCTCATACCTGTGTATTTTGTATGCAGCAGCAGAAGGAGGAACTAGAATGCATTTGGAACGTGTTCAAGTCTACATCGACAACTAGAGATTTGTTTATGTTTTTATATCTCTGTATGATTCTCTGTTAAACTGAAAGCACTTCAAAATATATCATTATTATCGTGCCTGGAGATGAGGAGACATTTTACTAGTGGTTACTTTTTCATGCTGTTCATTGATTCTGCCATCGAATTGTATCTTATTCTCTGAGATTCCTGAAACCTGCAAATCATTGTGCAACAAGTGCTTGTGGGCCAGGAGAAGCCACTTGTTCGACCACAGACCTTGAGTTACCAGCAGAGGATCTCGGTTGAGGCATCTGTTGTACCCACATCTCAACCTTACCCATTCTCTGAAAGGCGTTTGCCAAATTGCTAATCCTCTCACGTAGACATATGCTGTAAATTTGTTAATCCTGGAGTTCATCAGGAGACGTGATCTGATAGAATCCGACACCTGCTAAGCCTGCCTGTTCTCCACATCTTCATTTTTTTGCAGAACTTGTAGATTTGCAGTTTGAGGACAGGTGCCCTATGTTGACTTCTGATTCATGTCCTGTTAATCTACTGAACAAAAAATAAAAGCGAAATTGACCTGGAAACCTACATTAAACTCATTCTTACCAAATTCATTATCTAACTTCAAGCAATATCTCCTCATAGATTTTAATCATCAACTTTTGACTTGAAATCAGGGAAGTTTTATTCTATCAAAAGAATAAGAACTCTGTTGTCTTCTTCTGGTGTTTGAAAACTCAAGTGAACCTCCAGTCGTCCTCGAACAATACACTGGTTGAGAGGGAACTGCCCTTTTAACACACTTCAACTTACACCGTGTCTGTCCGTCGTAGAAGGTGTACATTTCACTGACGATGCAAGAACAGAAATACTGCTTACAAATTTTGGTCCAGTGTGAGACTGGTTCGAGATTTTCTCTTTGTGATGGAGTACCCTATAACTAGCATCAGCATGAGAGACGAGTGGGAATTCATCACCTCGTATCTTTACGATTGTCTTGAGATAGGAGAGCTGAATGGTAAATGAATAAAATTAAAAATCAGGCAGATAATTATAATATTTGGAAATTATAGGTACTAGTGAGCTATTCTTAATGATCCATCTTTCCCGTTACTGTATTTATAGTTGAAAAAAATATGAAATTAGATTGACAGTGGACCAATTACCATTGTTTTCTTTTTCTTTCTGAATGGGGTTCGATGTTGGTACTCTCTCAGCTTTAGATATTACTATTGTCGAAAGATAATTATTGCAAGTTTGAATACCGAAATTGCACCCTAAATGAACTTGAAGGAACCTGTAAGTAGATTCATTGACACATTTGTGTGAGATTCATGTGCGCAGAAATAAAATTGCTAGTCAAATGTTGTTTTCCTCAGATCTACTACACTATAGAAAACCCATTTTCACGAATGCCATGATGTTGACCAACTGGAATTATCAATTTTGTTCCCTTCAGGAACGCTTAGGATATAATTAAATGCTGTATTAAAGAGGCTAATAAAATGGCATGATATATTGATTAATTTGCTTCTGTTTTCAATGACAGTGAAATTTAATTAGAGGTTGATTTGTGTCGATAGTGCAACATATACTTTCTCCGTGAATCTCACGTTTAAAGTGTCAAGTGTCCTTAAACTTTGTGAACTGAGATAACAGGTGTAGCCTATTGAAAAACTGGGAGCTTTTCATAATTAAATCACATGACAGATGCATAATTGTATCGGTACCTGGAAATGGCTAGAATATTTTTTGACCTTTTCAAATCTGTTTGGAGCCTGAAGGGAATTAAATCATCAGTTTAAGAAAGAGTTAACACCTTTCTAGCACTGATCAGATGTTTGGAAACAATGACACCCCTGAGATATTCATAATTCAATGATTGTACTATGAGGAAGAAATTCATCAGTGATGAAAACATGTTTTTCCCAAAAAACTTTAATAGTAAACACATGCCTTCTTGGAATTCATGGGGAATGTTTTAGAGGTTTAATTCAACCTTATATGATCGACTGACACCAAGCCAACACTGTCTTCTGTTATTCCAAGAAACTTCAAAATATATTTTCTCGAAGTGGACATCTACTGTCCAAGCACAATCTTGTTAGTGCCAGAAGGGCAGTAACCCAGTAAAATGACATGACGCCCTTTTCGGCTCTTATCAGACAATACAGTTACCGGTATGCCCTTCTGCTTGGCACAAGTCATTTCATTCGTGAACATTAATGATTTCCTGTTTATCATTCACTTCAACATGGATAAGATTACATCTGAAATAATCTAACATTTGATTGATTGTTAAATAAATCATGGGAAATGTATTTGTAATCGTAAGGATGATTGATAAATCCATTCTTTACGAAACAATGGGTGAAACCGACCTAGGAAAGAAACGTATTATCTACTTGAAGGCTACTAGGCACCTGGAAATGTGGAATTAAAGGAACATCTAAATAAACATTTAAATAATAATAATAATAAATAAATAATAATAAATAATAATAATTGGATTTATATAGTGCCTTTTCCAAAGGTTACAAGGCGCATCACCATATATATCGACCTCAAGTACTCCATCAGAGCCAGAAGGTGGTTAACTCTGAGGAAATTGTTACAGTGTATGAATTAATGCCCTTCTGTTGTCGAACGGATGTACATGTAATGTCATTGTTTACTGATATATTGAAACAAAATGTTCTTTATGATCTATTTGATCCTTCCAAAGGCAGCAAGATACCATTGTCAAGATTCAAGATTTCTTATTCAACCATAACCATTAAAAACATACAAACAATAATACAAAATCCAGTATGGAATATGGAAAGGACAAATAGAAAAGCAAATGCTCGTGAGGAATGGCTCTGAAAGAGAGAATACACAATCCAAAACAAGATATGAAAATGTTTATATTGACCAGGCACTCAGGCAGTCATACAGATTAAAATAGCAAAGATGCAAAGCAATCTTCAAATCAAGAATAGACACCCTTAGAAATATCAAATATGTAAAGTCAAATAGCACACCTGTGATATAAGATGATCAGTTAGACATAGGTACTCCCATGTACAACCTATATAGAATTGTCATCCCATTGATGTTCCTCAATATTGACATTTAATAGAACCTGCTGGTTGCTATGGATATATCCTTGGTCTATAGATAATGAATATATTATTATCAATGCAAATCGCTATTCTGAAGCATGGTTAACACTGACTTAACAGTGCTCCCCAGAGTAATTTGCGTATACCGGTAGCTAGAGTATATAAGAAATCAACCTTATAAATGTTACCTGGCATTTATTCTACAGGTTAATGGTGAAGGATTATGAAGTACAAAAGGAAAGCATACAATCTTGCTCAGAGAACCCAAGTTTGACTTGGGTCTAGTGCATTCCTAACAGGAAAGGCACTAAATCGATTGTGTAGTTTATTTTATTTTGTAGTAGCCATGTAGAAAAATATTAAAATATCACAGACTCTTAAAACAATGTTCATATTAAATCTTTCCGATACCATACTAAAAAAAGTGCAGCCTATTTATTTTGCACATGTTGCCATGCCTTTCTTATGTTTTTACCATGAATGCCAAACAATTCCCTCTAATTATATAAATCTAAATTTGGCCATTAGTATAGAGATATGCTTATTTTTATTTGTATTTGGCATTGAATGAGGGAAATGTTTTCATTGACTGTAGAGATGTATATTCCTATATTGCAGGACAAATGTGTCATTCCTATTTGTAAGTTTATCCTCATTATTAGAACTAATTTATGATGATTAATCCAGCTGTATATTTTGTTACACAGGAAGAAGTGTATCAGATATCAATTACTAGGTTTTTAAAATCCCTTTTAGGGCTGAAAATAGTTTGCATATCGCCTTGGCCTCCTTTCTTCCATACATCTGTTGTGATAATGCATTTTTAATTAATCTAAACAAAATTATAATATGAATGATCTTTTATCTGATATACAGATGTTTCAAAATTACTCTTTCCCTACAGTAGTGGGGACTGTGAGGTTGTCATCACAAGTGTTTCGGGTCCTCTGTATTTTTTCTTCTTCATTTATTATTATTCTCCTCTCAACTTTTATCTGAAAATTTTTAATTAATTTGGAGTCCAAGTATGTTGTAATTCATAGTGATAGATAATTAGATCCATAACAATATAAACATGGGTATACAACCCCATGAACCTCATGTCTGTTATGAGAAAATGTGGACAATTCTTGCCTGAATTATTTTGCAAGTACATGCATGCCGCAAGTGCCTTCTTCAAAAGTCTGTCGGAAAATGAAGTCATGCTATTTCCATAGTTACCCCTCAGAGCTTATATCTTTAGTCGTTAAATTTAATGCTAGGATTATTGTAAATATTTAAACATGTTGACAAACTTTTTTCAGCAGTCAGAATTTCTATTGGAAGAGATAACAAAAGCTTATAGGAAATTTCAGCAGAAAGAATGAAAAATAAAATTCTGAAATGATGAAGTGATGTTTAGAGTATCCTCCCGACCCAAATAAAAAAGAACCTGAAAAGAAAGAAATGCAAAGGGAAGTTTTCTTTTTATTACACTTCTAGCAAATCTTCTGGAGAAGAAATGTACGCATGTATTATTGCAGCTAATGATTTTGAAGGGTGTGGTATTTTGACGTCAACAAATGAACTTCATGTCTTACAAACATAGTAGAATGACTAATTTGTCTAATTGGAGGGATATTGGATAACTAGCAAATGTCTCCCATGATTGCTTTGTTTTCAATTTCCATATTTTTATGACTGTGTTTTTCTGAGGAGGAAATAATATTAATTGAAACCAGTGGATATTGTTAGTGCACAGTTGTGGGTCAATTGAAGGGGATTAGTTGGTTGTTTCTGCATACCATCTTCTGAGAGCCACAAAGGGTCTTAATATACATTACATTTACAGAGAGGTAATGTCTTTCTTGTCCTTAAGTTCAGCAGACAGTGTTATAATTTCTGCTTACACTGAATTGAGATGTGGTTAGATAGAAACTCAACTGTTATTTAAAAAAAAGCTGTCTGGACTATGGAGTGAAAGTAGAAAAGTCCTCTTTGTATTTGTGCAATTTTGTTGAAATCAGATTATATTCCTACTTCTTTAGACATCCTTTAGAGTAGATTTGGCTTTAAAACGTGTATTTACTAGAACGTCAATCTTCGTTAATACTACTGTACACGTGACATTGTTGATATATTCAGCCATCGATTAATCTCATTGAGATACTAGCAAAACTACAAACTAAATTGTGACAAATGTTTTTTGATGAAAAAGTAACACGGTCGAGTACCATATATGTTTCTACTCTATATGTCAATATACCGTAGTACATGTAAGGTAACAACAATATAAGTTGTGTACTGGAGAGACTGGCCGTTGTTCTAGCATGCTAAAAGTTCATATACCGTCACACAGGAAGAGGAAGTGATAATGTAGCTTGATTCAAGTGTAATGTTAATTGCACTCAACTTGACTTTTTATGGGACTTGAATACCTACACACAAAGGCTTTTATTGCGTGTAGGAACATTATGTGCTGTGTGTGCAGATTTATATTTAGGAACATTACATGTATATGTAGTAAATAAATATATGTGAGAGCAGAGAAATATCTAGCTTTTGGAAGGTGCAAAACAGATCTAAAAGCTGAAAAAGAGCCCTGATTAACAAAATAAATAAGTACACAAATGAATATAAAATAAAATGCATGAAAGCGTTGTAAGAAATCTCATTGACGAAGGTCTATCTAAAACAAGTTACTGTCGACATATGTATATCTTACATTGACTATGTTGTAATTTCATTTTCAGAAATCCAAAATTATTATATGATGAAATATAGAAAACATGATTTGCATATTTCAGTGACTGTAATTGAATTAATGGGTAGTCTGTGTAAGAAAATTTTTGACGTCTATCGATGAAGTTGTTTACCACCTATAACACAAATGTCTGGACTGGGTTTTTCTCTGTGGAAATAGGAATTTCCCTATTTTCCTTTTTAGGAGGTTGATGACATACCTTTTCTAGAAAAACAGGAAACTGAAGTAAAAGCCATGGCCATTACCAAAAGAGAAATGAACAACAACAAAAAAAAGGGGGAGAGAGAAAGAGAGAGCCATGTAGAGCAAAAGAATAAGATCATCTTAAATATGTGATATTAGTTTCACTCAACTTTACTTTTTATGCAAACTAATATGAAAGCTAATCTCATTTATGGAATACACTTACCAATCTTTTCCAAAGAACTTTCTTCTAAAAATTCAACTGATTGCTGTGCCTACAATTTTTGATCACTTATACCAGTTTAGCCGAACCTGTCTTAATGACTACCTCTTTATAGTCTACATGTCTACAGTGGCCACTGTCTCTATTTCCCGTGGGTGGCCTCAATAGATGGGTGGGGCTGTACATTGGTTTCTGTTTCTTTATATAGTGTTTCTTTGTCTTTTTGCAAAGCTCTGTTGAGATGAGGCAATTGATGTTTAATCATTTATTTCATTTGTTTCTTCTACTTTACAGCGTTATGTGGTGATCGTGTGGTGCAGATGACCAAGACCTACAATGACATTGATGCAGTTACAAAACTACTGGAAGAGGTTAGTCATTTTTTTCTTCATTTTCTCCTAAAACATTCTCTTCAGATTCTAATGAATATATTTGAACATTATTTTCACATCAATTTGATTAAAGTCTCATTCAAATGGCCTATCATGCCTTTTACAGGATCTGAAACATGTCTTCAGAAGTAAATGAGTACATCTGTTATATGTTTCTCTGCATGAATTTTAATCTAATCTTGAACTTTTAAATTTCCATTTCATGTGAAATTCCTGTAGGCAATAAAAGAAATGAATCTTAACCCCAAAAGTCCCTTCAATGGATTTTTTTAATGCTGAAGATAATCGGTTTAAACAGTTTTTAATGTTGATACTTGCGGTTTCAACTCAGAATATGTGAGTTGTTCAACAGGCTAAACTTGTGGCGTGCACATACATGTAAGTCAGCCATGCCACTTTTAACCAAGCATCTGGCTATAAAGCAACAACTTGCTTTCAATTATACTTGGGGGAGGCTTGTAACTGTCTGAATTAGTAACACCTTTATTGCACACCTGCCATTGATTGGTGAGATGCTTTTTTGGGTTAAAAGAGGAGCAGGAAAGACTCATCTTACATTTCACTAAGACACACCTTAAAGGCATCCTTTAACAATGTTAAATCTGAGACGCATGGCCCTACCTGTTATCAGTGTCTGTGATATGGTGTAATATTGAAGCCCTAAAAAAGATTGCGATTCAAAATGATCATGAAGTTCCTCAAAAAGTAAAAATCTTTGAGTGACCGGTTTTACCATACTCATTTCCCCCAATAGACTAGTGTTATAAGAACTGTTAGGAAAACGAAAATGAAATTTCGATTTCCAATCATAAATATCTTGATAATCAGACAGGCGATCGGCTTGTAAAAGTCATGGGATTCCTGACTGACCTAAAGGTTTATAATTACGATTGCAGCATGAGCTAAATCCAGGAATTTGTTTCAAAATCTGGGGCAATGTTACCGTGTCACTTTAATGAGAAGTGTTTCTTGTTTGTTGTTTTTGAGTACAGAAGGAGAAGGATTTGGAGCTTGCAGCCAAGATTGGCCAATCTCTCCTGCAACAGAACAAGCAACTTGAGGGTCGGATTGAATTAACGGAAGAGAAGCTCACAATTGTCGCAGATCAGGTAAGAATCCCTTCTTTATTTCAAAATGATTTCCATCCTTCTCAACTTTATATTGAATATTGGAATTCTCTTTCTCTTTCCTATACCCAAGAAACACTATGTAGTTATGTTTTTATCAGCATTTTTATTGAGTGTCAAGAAATTTGTGCAATCCATTAACAAACAAACAAAGATAACCAATAAAAAGTAAATGGTGTAAATATTTCAACATAATGCTAACCAAGCAAAGTCGACTAGCTGCCCTGTCCAAAAGTCATGTTCTTGGGTGAAGTGGGAGAATCAACATTTACATTGATATATCAGAACATTGTGATTGGCCAATAATAGTTTGTGATTCTTATCAACAAGTATGGAATATTTGTCATAAGGATCATGTGATCAATTTGGGTTGACATGTGAAAATGTGAAGAGTGCATGTGATCGTGCGAGCATCTGATATGAACTTTGACCTACTTGAACATTGGGCGCATTTAGTGGGCGAAATGTGTCGTTAATGTCTACAAGATAACATAAACAAAGAAAAGGGAGGATTGTTCATTTCTTATTGAATGATGTTACATATTAATATAAAAAAATGGTTTTCATTTCATTCATAACTTTTCCAAGAATTGTTAGCACTATAATGAGAAATTTGTAATGAGTGATTTTAATAATAAGGAATCCTATTAAAATGTAGTTAAGAATAAAATTCTCAAAACAACATCAAGAAAAGGAAAGGTAAAAATAAACAGAATGTACAACTTATGCAGATTCATGACATCTGCCGAAGAAATTTGATCGGTAAATCATTCATATAAAACCAATTTGTTAGGAGAACTAAAGCTTAAAAAATGGTCCTTAAGTACCAAGGGAGAGTAAATGTATATAATTTTTATGTAGCTTCAAATTATTAACATTATGGTCATTATTTTAGCTTATGAATTTTGTTAAAATGAGTTACAATTAGAAGGCTCAGTGAGTTTATATTTGTGCCTGTCTATTGTTGATCTTCAGAATACCCAGTACCGGCATGACTTGAAATTGAAGGCGGAGCTACTCAGCATCTATACCAATGATGTGGAACATAGCGACTCCGAAGACGAAGCCGTATGGTAAGAATTATGAAGATATTGCTCCCTCTGTAGACAGCTGTTAGAAAGCATAACAAAGAGGGCAATAGTGACAACAGTAACATTGAGAGAAAAGAAAAGAACAACAAGAACAATTATTGTGTATTTTAAATGGAGGAGTAAAGGGGAGAAGAAAGTTAAGCCTTCTTTCCAACTGAAAACAATTAGGAAGGTTTTTTTCCTGCTTGAATTTAAATTTCTAATGATAAAGAAATATCCCAAAATCTGATCAAATAGTGTGCAGTACATTATTATCTTATGAGTGTAATTGAAAATTGTTTATCTTCTTTTTGTTATTGATCTCAAATCTTCATATTTTAAAATTTGAATTTTTAAATTAATGAGACCTTGATCAGATTCCCTGAATTTTCCCCAAACTGTATGTTACTTTCTCAATTTTATTATCAAAGTGGTAAAGACGATTATTTGCTCAGTTACTTTCTCTTCAAAATAATATGAAGGGCTAGGGTAGAATCCATTCCAGGTACATCAACATTAACAACCGACAGAAAAAGATTGAGAACTTCAATTCTACAGATTAGAATTTTGAAATTCTTAATGAGAATGTCATTTTAAGCTTCCTCAAACCTTACATTGCTTTCTGCAATCATTACTGCAGTTGTGTATTTGCTTGTGCCGGTATTTACTTTTTTCATTGTTTTTTGTTGATTGAAGGAACATGAAGGGCAAGGCGAGCATCCAGTCCAAGTACATCAACATTGACAACCTGCAGAAGAAAATCAAGAACCTAGAGGAGGAGAATCTTCATCTCAGGATAGAGACATGCGAGCTCCGTACAACCACCACCAATATAGAAGAGAAGGAGGAGGAGCTTGTAAGGGACTGCTTCAGACAACTCGGTAAGCATGGGTGTTTTTAATTATGCAAGATTCAAGATTTAAAGCCTGTCTGCACTAGTTCGGCCAAGAGGGATTAGACCTCCCTGCATGGTCACTGACGGGTGGTTATCTCATCAAATAAGCTCTCAATTAACATAAGAAAAAAATAAAGATCATGGTGGATCAATGGTCACCGACTAGGCATTGTTTGCTATATAGAGGGCGCAAGTAGCTATAAGTAGTTCAGTGGGGCTTTAAGACTCGAAATGAAATGTTATTGTCTATATTTACAGATTTGCTGTACATCAATGTTACATGCAAATACGTAAATCAAACATGGTATGGTGTCGTTTTATGGTAATGATGTTGATTGTTAAAGGTAGATTTTGTCGGTTGAAGGTGGTGTAAGGCACTGGTTTTTATGGTAATGATGTTGATTGTTAAAGGTAGATTTTGTCGGTCGAAGGTGGTGTAAGGCACTGGTTTTTATGGGAATGATGTTGATTGTTAAAGGTAGATTTTGTCGGTCGAAGGTGGTGTAAGGCACTGGTTTTTATGGGAATGATGTTGATTGTTAAAGGTAGATTTTGTCGGTCGAAGGTGGTGTAAGGCACTGGTTTTTATGGGAATGATGTTGATTGTTAAAGGTAGATTTTGTCGGTTGAAGGTGGTGTAAGGCACTGGTTTTTATGGGAATGATGTTGATTGTTAAAGGTAGATTTTGTCGGTCGAAGGTGGTGTAAGGCACTGGTTTTTATGGGAATGATGTTGATTGTTAAAGGTAGATTTTGTCGGTCGAAGGTGGTGTAAGGCACTGGTTTTTATGGGAATGATGTTGATTGTTAAAGGTAGATTTTGTCGGTTGAAGGTGGTGTAAGGCACTGGTTTTTATGGTAATGATGTTGATTGTTAAAGGTAGATTTTGTCGGTCGAAGGTGGTGTAAGGCACTGGTTTTTATGGGAATGATGTTGATTGTTAAAGGTAGATTTTGTCGGTCGAAGGTGGTATAAGGCACTGGTTTTTATGGGAATGATGTTGATTGTTAAAGGTAGATTTTGTCAGTCGAAGGTGGTATAAGGCACTGGTTTTTATGGGAATGATGTTGATTGTTAAAGGTAGATTTTGTCGGTTGAAGGTGGTGTAAGGCACTGGTTTTTATGGGAATGATGTTGATTGTTAAAGGTAGATTTTGTCGGTCGAAGGTGGTGTAAGGCACTGGTTTTTATGGGAATGATGTTGATTGTTAAAGGTAGATTTTGTCGGTCGAAGGTGGTGTAAGGCACTGGTTTTTATGGGAATGATGTTGATTGTTAAAGGTAGATTTTGTCGGTTGAAGGTGGTGTAAGGCACTGGTTTTTATGGGAATGATGTTGATTGTTAAAGGTAGATTTTGTCGGTCGAAGGTGGTGTAAGGCACTGGTTTTTATGGGAATGATGTTGATTGTTAAAGGTAGATTTTGTCGGTCGAAGGTGGTATAAGGCACTGGTTTTTATGGGAATGATGTTGATTGTTAAAGGTAGATTTTGTCAGTCGAAGGTGGTATAAGGCACTGGTTTTTATGGGAATGATGTTGATTGTTAAAGGTAGATTTTGTCGGTTGAAGGTGGTGTAAGGCACTGGTTTTTATGGGAATGATGTTGATTGTTAAAGGTAGATTTTGTCGGTTGAAGGTGGTGTAAGGCACTGGTTTTTATGGGAATGATGTTGATTGTTAAAGGTAGATTTTGTCTGTCGAAGGTGGTGTAAGGCACTGGTTTTTATGGGAATGATGTTGATTGTTAAAGGTAGATTTTGTCGGTTGAAGGTGGTGTAAGGCACTGGTTTTTATGGGAATGATGTTGATTGTTAAAGGTAGATTTTGTCTGTCGAAGGTGGTGTAAGGCACTGGTTTTTATGGGAATGATGTTGATTGTTAAAGGTAGATTTTGTCTGTCGAAGGTGGTGTAAGGCACTGGTTTTTATGGGAATGATGTTGATTGTTAAAGGTAGATTTTGTCGGTCGAAGGTGGTGTAAGGCACTGGTTTTTATGGGAATGATGTTGATTGTTAAAGGTAGATTTTGTCAGTTGAAGGCGGTGTAAGGCACTGGTTCCTCTGTCCTTGAAAATGACATCAAGTATCAAGTTTATTTGTCTTCCAGAAATCACATGTAACAAAATATAATAGAGTATAATCATAACGAGGAGAGCTTGGTTGAAGCACAGTTTGTTAAGTTAAGGCCCCTCATATGATGTGACAATGAGAGAGTTTTTTAGTTTGTGTAAAGAAATGTTAGAAAGCCATGGTTGAGATAATATTTGTCTCCATGTAAAAGCAAAAGGGCTCATATTTGCTTACCTATAAGTAAATACCTGCTTGTTAGCATCCGGGTAAAACAAGTGTTAGTACTTTTACAAAGTTGAGTACACTTGAAAATCTTTATATTCATGCAGTATAAAATCCATAAGAGAAGGGGTGTGGTGGTATAGTGGTTCATCCACTTGACTCTCAATCCAAAGGTTGAGGGTTGGAATCCCATCTTGACACTAATATCCTTTGGCAAGACATCAATCTGTATTTGCCGCTTTCCACCGAGGTTTAAATGGGTCCCGGATATTGTAGAGCGCTACATATTTGGCCGCTTGGCTGACCGGGGTAATAAGCTTGGATTGCCAGAAGCGTCATAGCATGGTGAACATGTGCGCTATATAAGAAGCCACCATTATTCTTCTTCTTATTGTTATTATTGAGAGATATTTTTAGGTTATAAGGGTAGTGGAGATTTTGGAACGTTATATTTGGGGGCACTCGTTCATTGAATATTTAGAAATATGCTAGAAAACTCCAAAATCTTACTCCCAACCTGATGTTCACTGAAATGTATATCAAAAGCTTTTCTTCCTCCATTTTATTGTGTCTTACATGTTTGAAGGACCAATAATCTGTCTTTTATACATTTCAAAAGAACTCATAGTTTAATAGTGCTCTCTATTTTACATTTCTGCCTCTCTCTCTCTCTTTATTCAGGTGATGCACGTGGTACTTGTGAGATTCTGACGGATGAGCTGAGTAAGAGGTTTGAGGAGAACATGAGGCAACAGGAAGAGATCACCTATCTCTTGGCCCAACTTGTTGACCTCCAGCAAAAGGTCAAAAAGGTGAGTGACCTCTATTAACTTGGCGTCAGCAAATTTTTGTTTCACTAAAACGGCTGTTCAATTCACCTCGTATATAAATTATATGAGAAGAATGATCATAACAACAATATGATTTTGAGATTGGAGAGTCTTAAACTTTCATTTTGAAAGTGGCAATATTTGTTCATTTCTAAATTATTTGAGGGAGATTGTTCATTGTGTATGGGAAATAAAAACTCCAATTTGAATTGCAACAGAATTTAAATCAGCTGAATTCTAATTTAAAATTACATTGCCAAATACCTTGTGAGATGAGAAGTAGGAAATATTTTGACTTCATTTTTACGGTGTAAACAGTACCTTCTGCAAGGCCTTTGAAAGTATTGTTTTAAATCTGCTAACCTGGACAACCCTTGTAACTGAATAGTACATGTATTTTTTTCTGAGCCCACAAAAGAGGAAAATACAAATATTCGTGACATGTGTATTAATCCAGCCTTAGACTCTTGGTCTGAATATCTACTGTGATTATGATTATGTCTTTACTTTCTTTCAGCTTTCCGTTGAGAATGAGGAGATGAGCCGGCACCTTACAGCTTCCAAAGATTCACAGCAAGACCTAGTCAAAGATGTAAGAAAGGCCCTGTCAAGCTTTTGATGTTTTTTATAACTTTGGTTCAACAGATTGTACAACATATACTCTGCCAACAATTACTCCACTGTCAGTTTCTACCTGTCAGTTTCTACCTTTAGCCCTGGACCTGACACTATCCCTAATCTAAACTAAACTAAATGAAAGGCCCATCGCAACCCTAACCCTAATCAAAACCTAGGTTTAAAACAAAAAAGGCCCTGAGCAAATAACAATGGAGTATGTGTTACTGGATCATGTGTCAGATCATCGTCATACATTGAAGGAGTTGTCAACAGAAGCATCAAGTAGGTTTTAGAAAAGGAAACAAGTTGTGTTTTCCTTCAAAATAAGCGAGATATGTCATTGAAAATTGGAGAAGATCCAATAAAGAGTGAGAAATTTAATTTATTTGTGAGCTTTCAAATAAGAAAATCCTGGACTTATTACTTGCATTTGTTTTGAAGTCTTCAATTGGTATTAACTGAGAGGGAAAATGAACTGAGAGGGAAAATGAACTGAGAGGGAAAATGTTAGTTCACGCTTAACATTTTTGTTCATCTCATTTCTGAATTATCGATTTTGAAAAGCTATTTTTCTGATCTCGAGAGCTGCACAGAATTCAGTTATTATTTCTGCATATGATATATATTTTTCTACTACTCTCCATTGATGTTCTTATGGGTTGTTACGAACTGTTATTTTAAACTTTCCATAATTATGCTTTACTGTTTCAGTTAATTGAGACGAAAGAAAAGTATGAGGAAGTTTACACCATGTTCCAAGAAGCGCAGGAGACAGCGAAGAGATCTAACCGTAGTTCTATGTCCCACGGCGGTATCGGCTTTGGCACCTATCTAAACCCACTACCAGTCTTCCCTGCTGTAAGTTACCCCATTTCTTATGTGCCCTTACCCTCCAGGGGTGTGCGAAACCCCCCATCTTGCTCTCGAAAACAGGAAAGAAGAGAAAAGAAAAGAAGAAGGCATTCAAACCAGAAATGCACAAGCTAGATATCAGAGAGATCTAGTGACAAGTTTATGTCCCATTGCAGTATCAGCTTTGGCACCTATCTCAACCCTAAACTTGTCTTCCCCACTGTAAGTTAGCCCTCTCTGTCTAGCTTTAACATCAAGTAGGCCCGTACTGTTTAGGTACATTTATACACCCATCACCCCCCCCCCCCCCCCATCAATCCTGGTACCTGGCAGGAATTAATTCCTTGAAATGCTAGAGCGCTGTAATGGCAGCCATCGTAAAGCCAGGGTAATAATCAGGAGTGCCTTGAGTGTCAAGTCTGACAGATACAAGCGCTAAACAGGAACCCAATATTATTATTATTATGATCATCTAAAAAAGCTGCATTTCTATTGAGACACAATAGCTCTGTGGCTAGAGTATTGATGTTTGGATGGGAGCTCCAGGTGCGGAACTAGAGAAGTATTTAAACAGGTCCTGAAATTTGGTTTTGGAGTGTCAAAGATTATAGATTGCAATTGACTATGGACTGGTTTCCAAAAATGATGAGTCTCAAGATCATTTTCAATGATGACATTAGGAGGAGGGGACAGGGTTGTTCCAGAGTTTGGGCGTGACACTAAATAAAAGAAAAGCCATCATATATCTCAATAAACATTTTTAATGGAGGCCTCTCTATAAAAATTAAATTCTTAATGACACATTAACAAATTTAGTGCGTCTGGGTAATGTTTTTAATGCCTGAATTGAAGACATGCTATCATAAATTATCTTATCATGTTTGATTGTCAATATCATTTTATGGACTATGTTCCAAAAATATCTGATAATTTGCGATATGATTTGATGTAGAATATTAACTTGATAGATTTTATGTAGAGCTACAAAAGATACTGTAAGAATGTTTGCCTAGGATGTCGCAAGAAATGTCAATATTTTGATGGTAGCGAATGATAACGGGAAATTTTTATGTATCACCAATATTGCCAAGAGAAAGATAAATCAGTTTTGCAGAACTTTTCCTTTAAAGCCCCACTGCACTACTTGTAGCTACTTGCTCCCTCTATATTGCAAACAATGCCTAAGCGGTGCCTGTTGGTCCTCCATGAACCCCTTTTTCTTACACTGTATGTTAATTGAGAGCTGAGTTGATGAGCTAACCACCTGTCAGTGATCACGCTGGGAGGTCTAATCCCTCTTGGCCAAACTAGTGCAGACAGGCTTTAAAGCACCAGAGTGGAAAAGGTATTTTATAGAGTGCATTCTCAATAAAACCTCACCAATATAATATTTTGTATACCCTCATGAAAAAGGAAGATCATGACACATCTTCTTAAAGCCCCACTGTCCTACTTGTAGCTACTTGCTCCCTCTATATAGAAAACTTCCCCAATCGGTGCCTGTTGGTCCCCCATGATCCTCTATTTCTTATGTTATTTGAGAGCTGAGTTGATGAGATAGCCACCTGTCAGTGACCTCACTGTGTGGTCTAATCCCTCCTAGCCACACTAGTGTTTATAAGCTTTAAGAGCATTGAAATTGAAGGACTTGAAAATGGTTGGTATTATTTTGATCGCAGCAATATGCTTTCAATGTTTCTACATGTGTAGCAGTTTCATTAAAAATGAAAACGAAAATGGAAGACTTTACAAGTCACTCGTAATGACAATTGATTTTTAGGTCATAGAGATAAAGATGATTATCCTGAGGAGCGTGATAAAGCAAACTCTTATCTTGAATTTTCCAATCTACATGTACCTTTGATATTGATGTAGTTGGACGTGACTTTCTTTCTTAAACAATAATGCACTCATATTTTATCTCTAGTGTGTAGTCATGTTCCCATAAATACAAAGAGAACGTTTCATTTATATTTGCTTTTACTGAACATGGTTCTCTCAGAATAATATACAGTTCTCACATGGTTGCGCATCACATTAGTGTAGCGCAAATAAGGTATTATGGCCATGGGAAGTTGCCTTTGAATCTATTTGAGCACACTTGAAAATGGAGGGTGTATATACTTGAGAAAGGTGATGTGAAGTTCTCCACCTTGCCCTTGTCTGCATCAACCAAAGTTGAAATTATTTTATCAGCTACACATATATTTTGCTAACTTGCTGAATTATCAAGTTTATGGAATATCTTTTCAAACTTACTTCAAGAGTTGACTAATCTAGGAGATAGAAAAGTGTAAGGTAATCTAAAACCTTCAGCAGATCAATGGAGGTAGGAGAAGTGTTGTGGTCTAGTGGATAAGTCGTCGGGCTGTGAGCGCCGAAATTGGCAGCCTAGCAGTGCCAGGTAATATTGGAGCGCCTTGAGCCCCTTGCATGGTGGACATAAATATCTGATATCGATTATTATCATTAACATTGAAGTTGCAACTCATTTAACAAATTCGGAGTAGCCATCATTATGTAAGTTCCACGCAGTGTAAATGAATGATTTTGTTCCCATGTGCAGATATATTTTCCAGGATTTTAGAACATAAAGATCAATGTAAACGTAGATTAATATACTGGGACTCTTTTGAAAAAGCGGAAGTATGTCACTATGTTGCCAGTGCTCATATTTTAATGATATGTACTGTTGTCATTAAGTCATTAAACATATGCAATAAAAAAAGTATAATATCATTCCATAATATATTATCCAAGTAATAAAACCATTTTGTCAGCAGTCGCATCCGTGACTGTCAGTACATAATGAGAGGCTGTATCAGTCTGAAATTGATAGTCAGAAAAGGAAAGAAGAATGAGTAATGTTTTATATATCCTTCTGTTTAGAGCCAGAAGGGTGTTAGCTTGTATACTTTTACACAGACTTAAATGTCTTTCTGGCTCTGAGCAGATGATTTCATTGTCTGATGCACAGATGCACAGTTGTATGGTCATTTGGTGTCCTTTAAAAACACTACTTCTCAGTTATTAAGTCTTCTTAAACATTCTCATTTGAAAGCTTATATTTTCTCATATCATATCCAGGGTATTTTTCTGTCTCTCCATTTCAAAACCGATATTAAAAAAAGAGAGAAAAAAGAAAGAAAAAAAGATGGGACGTTCAAAGTTACTTCCCCCAGGCACATGGCGTCATGTTCTGCTCTTAAAGATAAAGCATGTTTCAGTTTCGTCTCATATTTCATATCTATGTAAACACTCCAAAAATGAAGTAGATTATGTCTTAACAAATATTGGACGTTTGCCATGGACATAAAGTAATATCAACAAACAAAGTCTAAGAAAATATATATCACTTAACCAAATGCCTCTCAACAGAAATTTAGAAGCAAATCTTTAGGGAAAACATGAGGAAGAGAAGAAGGAGAAAAACTGTTACAGGTATAATGATTATTTGTGTGGGCATATGTCCTACATGATTTCTTGATAGCAGAGATTATGAAATTAATATTTTTTTTCTTGAAGGGCAAAAATCACCAGCATTTATTTTGCTCTTTATATTTGGGGTTCAATTTCATAATATCAAACTCAAATAATCAGCTTCAAATATGAGTTCAGTCAAGATATTGCAAATTTGCAAATCAAAATTACTCTCTAAACTAACAGAAAGCTTCTTGCGAATAACTTACTTGAGGCATCTGTTCGTGCCTGTGGAAGTTCACTCCGAGACACCTTCCACATGGGCTTTGTTATGAAATGCTTTTCTTCTTTTCATCCTTAACCAAACACTGAATGTTGTTATTTATGGGTGTTGGGGACTGCTTTAATATGTTCTGACTTCTTTGTTTCTTAGTCACTTGAATGAAGACAAAAACAAATTATTTGTTGTTTTTCTATGACAGGATTCCTTAGCAGCTGAGCTGGTAGACTGTGTAGAGCAACGATTAGAGAAAGACCCACATCTCTCCAAGAAAGGCAAAAGGTATGCACAAGATATACATCCATAACTCTTGAGGACATATTGTACAGATCAGACACAGTTCTTCAGAATAGATTACACCATTTATTTACAATAGCATGTTGTATCAATTGGCTCATCACTTTTTTTTCCTCCATACAAGATGTGTCCATTTAGATTAATGTAGAAAAAAAAGGAAATCAAACAAAATCCCCCCCCCCCTCTCCCCATATCATATTTCAAGTTAATCAACAACAAAAAAGACAACAAAAAAGACCTACAAGTGTTGCCAATTTGGTGATAATTAATGATCAAGGTAGCCCTAAACAAATTCCTGTCCCGAATAAGTCATGCTTTTCTTCTTTTTATGATGCTTCATCTTGTACTTTAACTGAAGAAGAATCAGTGATACAAACTTAAAGGGATCCAGTAACTGTCTCAGATTCTGAAACAAAATCCTGGATTTAGCTCATGCTGCAATAATAATTATAAACCTTTAGGTCAGTCAGGAACCCCATGACTTTTACAAGCCGATTGCCTGTCTGATTATCAAGATATTCATGATTGGAAATCAAAACCAAATTTTGCGTTTACCTAACGGTTTTCATAACACTACAGTCTATTGGGGAAAATAAGTATGATAAAACCGGTCACTCAAAGATTTTTACTTTTTTGAAGCGCAACTTTTTTTAGGGCTTCAATTTTACACCCTATCACAAACACTGATAACAAGTAGGGCTGTGCATCTCAGATTTAACAGTGTTAAACGATGCCTTTAATGAGATTCTAATCTATTTATTTTCTTTTCCATCTTCTATTTCAGGGAATACAACAAGAATGTAATGAAGACGGTGAAGGTGGTGAACAAGAGAAGCCATAACAGTCCTGGCTCTGGGTACAGCAGTGATTTCTACAGCCGACCAGTCTCTCCGTCCAGCTCCGTCGTCTCTCTCGTAGGCTCACCAAGGAGTGAGATGTATGAAGGTGATAGTGAGAGTATCAACAGCTCTCTTGGGTAGGTAGAAGAAAGAAGACAAAAATGGTGTTCAAGTATATAGTCCATCAAGGGTAAAACTATGTGAAGAAATGTGGGATAGTTATATTTACTCAGTATTACTCAGTTTTCATCGTTTATACAATACTAATCCGACACAAGCATTCACTTGTATCTTTGGTTTAAAAGATTTATTTCTATGTTTTAAGAATCCTATTTAATAATTGGAAAGCAAACTTATATCAATTGTTTCAGTGTGGGTCCCTCATTGTTATGACAATGTTGAGATAAGTGTGCTGTGTACAAGCAGAATGTGATATACTGCTTTCAAACTGATAGTTTAAGCTTAGATAAGATAATCAAGGTATATGATGTCACATTTAAAAGCTAGAAATTTTGGCTAAAGTGATACAACTTCAGTCATTGTACTAATAAGTCAAGCCAAATTCAAAGTAAAATGTTAACTTCACATATTTAGATACCAGCCTTGGTACCTAAATAATGGAACAGGGAAGAGTTAATAGTGGTGTAAAGAAGAGTTGATAGTAGTGTAGTGAAGCGTTAATACTAGTGTAGAGAAGAGTTGATGGTGAATTGTTTACTCTCCCCTCTCCTCACCCTAGATCCGGTCTGCATCCTCCGGTCTCCAGCATCCCTGGTTCCAATGACCTCGAGACCGCTCTAAGACGTCTCAAGCTCAGACGAGAGAACGAGACTGCCGAGCGGGACTACGCTGAGCTCCACGTCAACTCACCTACCTGTCCTAGTCCAGACAGTATGCTGTCGGGACTGTCCGGGATCTCCGGCATCTCAACGGTACCGATGGGAGGAGGAGGAGGAGGAGGAGGAGGAGGCCAGTCGTTCAGGGCATACATGCCAGAGAAACTGCAGATTGTCAAACCAATGGAAGGTGAGTACAATCACACTATTTGTTTTGGTTTTGTTTCTGTTATTGATTTGACCTCTATGTAAACACAGTTACATTCGACTGCATGAAGTCATGGCTCATCAAATGCCTTAATATTATAAATTTGGCTTGTAACATAAAAATCGGGACAGATTTTTATGCCACATGTTCGTGTAGTCCCATATACATCTTTCTGTGTACAGTGCTTGGATACTTTTATGGCATCATAAATGTTATGTACATGACATTGGCTCCATTGGCTTTGTTACTTTGTCAATGATAAAGGTTAAGATTTAATTTGAAGGTAGATTTGGATGAGTTTTAGCCCTCTCTTGTTAGGTTCAGAAATCAAGTATGGAGCAATCGTATTTGAAGCTGTGTTGCTCAATCATTATACTGTTGCATGATTATTGATTATTGTATTATCTTTCACCCTCTCATGAACTCCCTTTCTTCTCCTCTCTCTCTCTCCTCTCTTTCCATAACTCCCATCACTTTCACCCTCCCACCCTCTCTCTCTCTCTTATTGATGATTGATTATTGTTTTACTGTACTTGGCAGCTAAGAAAGCATGTATATCTTTGTATTAGTAAGCAACCATTGGACCGATGGCTTGAAGTCCTCTCTAAAGGGACTTGGTAATGAGAATTAATGTCTTACCAAAGAACACAAGTGCATTGATTTGGTTTCGAACCCAGGACCTCTCGGTTTTGCAACCACTGCTCTACCACTGAGCCCTTGCCATGTCTCATACTTATTCTCACTCAATGTCTCATACTATCTTTCACTATATTTGTTTCCTAGGTTCCATGGCCCTTCATCATTGGCAGCGTCTTGCCACCCCTCACATAGCCAGCATGTTAGACTCCAGGCCAGGTGTCGTCGTGAAGGACTTCAGGGAGATCGATACCAGGCGGGATAATTACCTGGATGAGATCGAGGATGACGGCTGCGTCCAGAGTAAGTTCAGAAGAAGACTGGGAGATATTTATAAGAATAGTTGTGCTTCCATCATCAGGATTCATGCATTCAAGAATGACGCCTCTGTGAAAATCATAAATTCTTTGAAATAGATGATAATGATAATGATAATGATAATGATGAAGTGATTGAACGAATGATGATGTAATGGTTATTTTACCTGACTGCTAAGAAAGCATAAATGCTTGTAAGTAAGCAACCAGACTGCCGACGGCTTTAGGTCCTCTCCGAGGGACCTGGTAGTGAGGATTAATGCCTTACCAAAGGGCACTAGCGCATCGTCTTGGTTTTGAACCCGGGTTACCGGATTATGAGACCACTGCTCTAGATAATAATGATATGATAATGATATCTGTAAAGTGCTTTGAGACATTGTATTAAGCACTATATAAAAACAGAATATTATTATTATTATATTCACAACAACAGCACCTCCACCACCACCACCACAGTCAACAACAATAATAACACCAACAGCAATCAATGAGATTTTTAATAGTGCTGCTTTACTTAACCTGGGTTGAGAGTAGCAAATATAGATGAATATCTTATCAAAAGATGATAATGTAGACTGTAGCAGGTATATGAACCCTGTACTGTGTGGTTTATAGTCTGGTGACACAACACATGGAGCTACACGTATCTCATGCCATATTTGTATACCTTTTCTTTTGATATGCAATGTGCAAAATAGCAGAACTGGGTCCTGTCTTATAAAGAGTTGCAGTTGATCCCAATCAATCACAAGTCCTCCAATTAATCAGAAATAAGTTGCTATTAAAGGGACTATGTCCCATTTGCAGGCCAAAAAAATGAAAAAGTTAAATTCCAACCGCATTTGAAAGATAATACTAGTATAGAACTTCCCTAGAAAAGGTGGGGCTTGAAAATGTCTTCAAGTGGGAAAATAACGACTATTAGTTGTCAAATCGACTTTAGGGCTATAGAGCCCAAAAGTAATAGTCTTGATTTTCAGACAATTGTACCAAATGGTCATACGTTTTATGCTGCGCAAAGATTCAATCAGTTTAATCTTGGCCATCACAAGAAGTGGGTTATTGATGTAGACAAATACTCATGTACCCTTTACAACTCTTTTCATGTATGTTATTACCAAAGAAGAAAAAAAGCCAGTCAGTCACTCAATAGTGTCTGACAGTGAAGTCTAGCAAGTAAACGGTTTTCCTTGCATAATTTGAATATGAGGACACTGCTAATGTTTAAATTTCACAGATAGGACATACATGACATATTCATAATTCCTGTAAAGTTCTACAGCATTTGAGGTTGGCTGCAAAAGGGACATAGTACCTTTAATATCAACTCTTTATAAGATGGGGCCCTGGTGCCGGTTTGAAATAATTCAGATTAATGCTCTTAAAAGTGATGAAATTCTGAAAGGTTTGTTTACAGCAAGTTTTCCTCTCCTATTTCAGGTGGGACTTACCCCAGTAAAGGCTTTGCTCACACCAGCAGCACATTTACATACACCACCAGCAGGTTGGGGCAGACGGGCGACACATTCATGACCTCTCGGTAAGATCTCTTTCATATAGATTGAATGCTACCAGTAAAACTTACATTGTAGAAGGTGTGATACTTGTGACACATCTTTATGGTTTAATATATGGCTTTGTTTTCAAAAAAGTGAAGCGTGGTAATGCAGTACATGATGCTGTATTACGTGTAAATCATATGGCCTGTTCATGAGAATAAAGTGTAGTACAAGGGTCAGAAAATCAGACTACCTTCTACGCATATTTTTGCCATGGGCTCATAACAGTCTATATAATTTGATGTAGAGACAATTACCAGTTCTAATCTTTTAATAGGAGTTTTTAGTTGGTATTATCTCTTGTTTACCATAGGATTTGCACAACTTTATATTTTGAGCCTGCAAAAGGGACGGACTACCTTTTAATCAAGAATCTCCAAAGTGCTTATTAACTTTGGATTTGTTTACTTGAAATAAGTTGATTTGAATGTATTTGACTGTTAATGATATTGTTTTTTGTGCAGCAATCCTTATGGTACCAGGATGACCATTGACCTGCAGGAGCAGGCTTTCCCCGGTGTCTATGACCCTCCTCCCGGTGCCTCTCTTGGTCTCGCTTCAGTCCTGGCGACCCCTCAGGTCACGTCCGGTTCAGCCGTCCGCCTCAAGGCCAGCCAGACCGGAGCAGTAGGTGGTGCCAAGTCCAAGCGTTCAACCACCGGTCTAAACCTCCTATCCACGAGCCCGAACTCTGAGAAGAAAGCTGAGCTGGATGTAGAAGCTCCATCGGGTGTCCACAAGGTGTCCGGTCAGATCTTCTCCAGGAATGCGTCCCCGATCAGCTCCATCAGCAGCGGGATCAAAATCCTGGATCCCGACACCAAGGCTCGACTGATGGAGAAGGTCAAGTGCATCAGAGCAGAGAAGGCAGCGCACAAAGCATTGATGCAGCGGCAAATGTCTGCAACTACAAATGCAGTGATGATCGCACCCTCTATGGCTGTCAGTATTCCTAAGACGACAGTGGGGTTAAGTGGGATGATGTTGTCTTCCAGCGCCTCTGCAACACCTAGAATGTCATCATTCACTAGTGGATCGGTAGTGCCATCAGCAAATGCTGGCCTGAATGCAACAACAAATGCAGTGATGATTGCCCCCTCTATGGCTGTCAGTATTCCTAGGACGACAGTGGCGTTGGGTGGGATGATGTTGTCTTCCAGCACTTCTGCAACACCTCGAATGTCCTCATTCACAACTGGAGCAGGAGTGCCATCAGCAAATGCTGGCCTGAATGAAATGTCGTCAAGTGCCGCTCCCGGAAGTGCAGGAAGGCCATCAATGAATGTTGGCTTAATGTCTTCAAGTTCTACCCCCAGAATGTCATCGATGATTGGTGGATCAAGGCCAGCAATGAATGTTGGCTTAAATGAAATGATGATGTCTTCAAGTTCTACCCCCAGAATGTCATCGATGATTGGTGGATCAAGGCCAGCAATGAATGTTGGCTTAAATGAAATGATGATGTCTTCAAGTTCTACCCCCAGAATGTCACCTATGATTGGTGTACCAGGAGGGTCGTCTATGGGTGTGGGTGGCATGGTGATGTCTTTAAGTAGCGCTCCAAGAATGTCGTCATTCAGTAACGGGTCAGTAGGTAGCGGAGTAGCATCAGCAGGCAGCATGCCTTCACCTTATGGAACTTTGCCAGGTGCTCCGACAACATCCTTGTCATCCGGTACAACTACCCTTGGTAGTTCACACCTATCAGGCACACCAAGTCTATTTCCCGGGGGACTAATGTCGCCCGGTTCCTCGTTCCCTCCAGTCCTCGGCCAATCTAGGGTCCTAGCTAGCCCAATGTCAGTCCTAGCATCTAGACCTGTCGCTGCGACCACCACATCCTGTGAGACCACCACGGCTGGTCTAGGACATGCTCTCGAACCCTCTGGGCTAGGCGCAGTCTTGGGCCTAATGGACAGTCCCAAGGCTAAGACCATCATCACAAAGACCAAGACTAAAGTAGCGATGAAGAAGCTATAGCATTGGAAATAAAAATTAGACCAAGAACAGAAAATAGTTTGAGCGAAGACCAATTGTGTATTATCGTCTTTGAAATTGTCCAATGATGAAGTGGCTCGCTTCATCTGTGGCTTTCAGAATAATCCCAATGGCGTGGTTTGCCTAGAAATTGAAGTTGATACTGGGACAGGAGGCAGGCCGAAACATCCCAAGGTGCTTTGGGAAATCTTCAGCTTGTTAGCTACCTTCCCAGAGTAGACCATCAATGAAATATGATCAGAAATCAGAAATGTGCTGAGTAGAACACTAAAACTTTATCATGCAATAGGTATTATACTTTTTCTTGGAATATTAAGTCGTTTGATTATACATTTGAAAAGTAATGGGTACACTCTCGCTAATATTTCTATATCTCCATGCCTCTCACAATATCTTGTATCTCATCTCTATAGCTTCGTAGATAATGACTAATTGCTCTGTACAAGTTGATGTGTCAATTTATAAGCTTGGCTGAAATTTAATTTATTTCTTATGTTTTATTGCTCGGCACATATAGCAATTAAATATTTAATGCTACTCCAAGTTATATGATGAAGAAAAAAGAAGAAAAAAACAGAGTAAACCACAGTGCAGCTCTTTTTAAATTTTTGTTTGCTTGTTTTCGTTGTATATTCCCTGAATTTGAAAAACATGAAAAAGTTATATCCAGCTATTTTCTTTACAGTGAAATATCTTTTAGTTTTATTTGGTCCTTGTTTTTAATTTACAGTAGTTTGTAATGATGAGCTATTACAGGTATTTTTTTCTTTTTCAATCCATAGTTTGAATACAATAGATGTTTAACATGGAACAGTTCCTGTTTAGCCTCTAAGAACAAAGAAAATCTAAAGAGACAGCTCAAGAATTTAATGACCAAGATATATTTTGTCTAAAAACAAATCAGTGTCTAAATTGGTGAAGTGATCAACTACTTCAGAAAGCTATGGTTCTGCTCAAGTTTTAGATACTTGTGTTCGAGTCAGCATATACTGTTATTTTTCTAATTGCCAGGAATGTCTTCCTCAGAATTTCAAAATGAATTCTCTATCATTTCTCTTTCCTTTGTGGTTTGTGAATTTAACTGTACTTTTAGTGAATAGACATTTCATGTAGAGAAATATAGCCACCTGGTATTTTAACGAATCCTTCCTTGTAAATTTAAAATTTCCTTATATTTTAAAGTTTGATAGTGCAATACATGTACAGCAGATTATGTTTTAATATAATTTGTTTTTATTTGATTTGTGTTTCTTTTTCAGATGCATGAGAACAACATTTTTTTACTGAAATTTGGTTTGTTTCAATGTATTTGCCTTATTATGCTACCAAATGAAAGCAATTGTTTTTATTCAGTTGGTTCGTTTAAGAAGTGGTATGTAAATTGCTACTGGTAATAAGTGTCATATCTGTCCATGTTCTTGAAACAACTCATTGAACCATTTTGAACGTCATGTATATTTTTCTTGTCTTTGAGAGTACTATTTTGATTTTATTGCCATTGATTTTAAGGCATGTTGAAATTTGATTGCTGGATGTGCTTTTCTTTATTATTTTGAATGTTTTGTATGTCATTGTACAGGAAAAAATGATTGAAATGAAAGGGGGGGATCCAAAGATACAGTAGCTTCAAGATTTGCCAATTGGGTAGCAGTTGAAATGAAGATTGAAAATATTGCGCATTTTAAAAGTATTGAAAGTTAGAGGCAAATCTGTGCAGCAAGTGAATAGTAGTACATTGTCGAAATAGATACAAGGTTATTTTTTGTTGTGAGTGGAACGTAGGTGAAAAGATACAATGCGGAAATTTGAGAAACAAAGTTGGATTGATGAATTTACCCCCTTGAGCCTTTATAACAGATGGCTGTTTTGTGGACATATCGTTGTGGTGTATTTTCGTATCATCTGCCTTGTTTCAATGCCTTGTAAAACAATTTTCCCCCTCTCTCTCTTCCCTAATATTGATATGTTGGCAATAGCTTTTTTCCTCTCTGGAAATGTTCATTTACCTTGTTAGTATTGGCTCATCAAAATCGTCAGCATCCACCTCTAATTTACAACTACCGGTATAGGGCCCTGTCTTTAATACACACAGTTGCAATATTATTCAAATCTATTTCAACTTAAGTTGAAATTGGTGACAATCGCAACTCTGGAGCTCACGCAAGAGCTTGGAAATTGTAAATTTGTGATTTGTTTGAAGGGCTTGTGACAGCGGTGTTCTTCAGAAACGTGTACTTGCGTTGTGATCAAGAAAATGTGTACTATTATGTCATGTAAACTATTTTATTCAAAGAAATCTGATGGTAAGGTACCAAGTACTGCTATGTAGATTAGTGTTGTCTTGTTGGTATGCATGTCATGTTAGTGACCACTTTCTTGCAAGTACTACTATTTCACCTGATCTTGAATGTTTGCTCTTACCCCTTTATCTACTTTAAAGGTAATGTCATTGTTTTTGAAGAAATAAAAACATCAAAAATCTGGTGAATTGTTGCAAATACCTCCTTCAAATGTGAGCTTGAGAAAATCAGTATTGTTTGCTAAGATTTGACAATTAACTCAGGTAAACTTAGGAATCTCCATTATTTTTGTTTGTAAACTTTGGAACAATCTTTGGAACAATGTGATACAGGTTATTTTTTTTTTAAATTTGTGTTCTCATCAATGACATTATCTTTAATCAGGACTTTATTTTTACCATCGCTTAATTTTTTTTTTTTAATTCATGATGCATGTGTGTATCCAGTTTGTGTCTAATTTATGTATATCCGACATCATTGACTAAGAATTATGCAAGATTGTAATTTACTAAATTATTTTTGTATTTTGGATGTGGGCAATTTTTGCACTAGTATTTTTTTGCAAAATTGTTTTTCAAAGTTCAAACAATAATGATGATTTAAAAATATAATAATTCTTAGCTTATTTATGTTTCTACTTATTGTCATGATTTAGATTTGAAGTCTTCTCCAATAATTAGCTTATTATGATGATTAGATAAGTCGAACAATGGTGATAAGACTGGATATTTCGATACTAATAGCAGTTAATAGACGAGCAATGATGAATTATCAATGGTAATGAATTTTCAATATAAAATCCAAACACAATATCTCTGCACTTTTTTTCATGAATATTATTACAAGAAAGGCTTCTTGTGTGTGATATAGTTTCTGTGCTGTGCAAATCATTGTGACACATTATGTACATATTTTACCGCATAAAATATGAGAATGTACTTATGAATGTACGCTCTGTGTCTCAGACTTCTGTGTCATTTGACATTCTATGTGAAAGATTTGACAGATACACAGTACTCTTCCAGTGTGTATGGCCGGATATTTATTAAACTACTTAACCTGGTAATGCCATAGTAGTACTGGCAGTGACATTGAGACGCCATGTAGCTAAAATATCATGAATGACATTTAAACTGCAAGCATATCATATACTACATTTTCTCACACTGACAATAATATGTGTTTTTAACATTTTGCTTACAAATCTACCTTGTTAGTAAGAAAAAAAACTTTAAAATATTGATATCCAGATAAGAAAGGGAACATTAAACCAGGCTTAAATTCAGCTCTAAGAAAGTATTGCTAGAGTCTGCTTTTCATCATTGTAAGTTCAAATTTGAAAATGAAATAAAAGAAAACAGTAAGTATAGTGTGCAACTTGTAACCCCCATATACCAGCGTGGAAGAAATATGGTTGATCAGTGTTTTCAATATTCTCTATTCATAGTAAATTTGCAAGAAATTTTCTCTAAATATATTATGTATTTAAACTTTTATCTTGTCATGTCATGAAAGTTGTCATGTCTACTTCACATGGAATTACCCAGTGTAATGTGCAAATTCAAACATACTTTTCATGCTTGGTTTACTCTCATTACAAAGTAGTTATTATGTGATTGTTTTGATCTCTTAAAACATGCAGTTGTGTTTGTCACTTAATACACTTTTTAGAAAGTAATTTGTTACCCAGTCAATCATTGGAGATGTATACATTATCGATATGTCTGAAGTGTGTGATATTTGTACAATACTTCATCTAATCAAATTATCTTTGTATCAATACAGTACATGCGATGCTGTAGGAATAATGGAATTGTATGTGTCAAGAGTTATAACTATTCAAATAGATGTCATATAATATTGCTTGACTGGCAGATCTAATCAAGGATTTGTTTCTTTCTAATAGATTAATATTTGTATGAGGAAAAAGATGATGTAGGGCAATTATGTGCAATGTGTGACATATGACATATGACCCTTTTCCCCCATTCAAGAGTGAAAGTCTCTTGATATGGTCATCAAATAATAGTTCTCTGTGATATTACCAATCCATTCTATCATAATGGCTAAATTTTGGAAGAAATATATGGGGGAAAAGTCATATGCCGTACAGACCACATTGCATGCAATCGGCCTGTATTTATACAGATCCATTTATGTATCAAAATTGTGTGAATGCAACTTTAATTTTCTAAAAAGTTGTTAAAAATTTGCGCATTTCATGTTTTGTAAGACATTTTAAATTTATCACTTAAATATTGAGTTCCCCTAGGAAATTACAGATATCACCATTTCTTACCATTTGAACTTGTAGATAAAATGTAGTTTGATTCTAAGCAGATTTTATTTGTACAATGCACACCATTGACATGCTTGTTGAATAATGCTAGTATTATTATTTGTTTCAGTCCAAAATGGAAGCATGAAAATAGTATTTAAGAAAAGATTTATATTTGGGCACCTGTAATATCGTATGCGACATATGATGCCTGTGGCCTGTGTAATGGTTGCCATTATGTGGATAGAGAATGAAGGGGAGAGAAAAACTGTTGATAATATAAATAAAAAGTAAAAAATCTTAAAAATCACATATTTGATTAATCTCGAGTACTTTTTGTTTCAAGTGGAATAGAAGTTGTAAGTGATGTGCCTGTAATAGGCAGTTTTTTTAATGCAACCAATTCAATGCACACGTCTCTGTTAAGAGTCTTGACATATATTCACCTGTTCCAATCGTAAATTATTGCTAGGTAGGACAAACATGGCTTGCCCTACCTAGCAACACATACAGGTAGTACATGCAATCATTTGCATTCAGACTTTTGGATCAGTTTTATTTGTAACAGGTGAATGCAATGATTCATATAGAAGCACTTCACAAAGATGTATTCATTAAATTTTGTAACATTATGAAAATAGCTCGTTCATAGCACATCAATAATATTGACAACTTTATGATTGTAATTTCTGAAAAAGAATATTGCATTTTGTCACTCACGGTCACCAAGTCATGCATGCATCACATCTTTTCACCTGATCACTATCATTAAATTTACAAGAGACAATACAACAAACTATGTAGTGTACACATATATCTCTGTTTCTCTACAAACACCAACAACTCAGTAAGAAATCCATGATTGGGACATAACATTCCAAGTGATTTTTGTATACAATTTATTCGATCATTTAAAAAATACTACATATTCAGATATATATACAAGAAGACATGAATACAAATTTGTCTGGTAATTATTTTCAGCTACATACAGATCTAAATTTCACATAATGTTGTTAGTCAACATCAAAGTGCATACTATCGGATATTTTTTTTCTTAAAACATTCATGATAAAAAGTACAATTCTCACAATACTCATGTAGATATAGCTGCACATGAGGCATTAATCAGATTGGCTTACACACACAAATGCTATACAGATTACAAAATATCTGAGGGTACCTTAATATTGGACCTGCATCCATACAAAAATGAAACAGACATCTTATTTCTTTGGAATTCGTCATAAAAATTGACATGATAATGATGATGATAACAGTGATATATCTATCATGAGCTTTATTATACATTTTTATACAGATACTAGTTATTTGCATTAAAAATATATAAGATAAATTTCCACATCCCCAAATTTATGTACATATTCATATCAATTTATTCTTTTCAAAAATATCTACGACAACAAAATTGCATGGAACAATTCTCCAAAATTATTTGGTACATGTTGTGATCAACATTTACATGTCTAATTACAATAATACTGACTTACTGGTTATGATGCTGGAGCGGAGGCCTATATCAAAAGATTGGCTAATCCTTTTCAGCCACCGTTGGAAATTAATACGGAACAAATTGACCAAATAAATCAACCATTGCTCGTGTCAAAGTCATGGCTCACCAGTATGCATAGCTACCGTTTTCTAGACATGTGAGATACATACATTCAAACAGACAGACATACAGACAGACAAAGATGGTACCATCTGTCAAGAGCCAAAAGAGCATTAATTGATAGCTTTCACACAGACTTGATGCCCTTCCGGCTTTCAAAAGAGGTAATTATCATCTTTTAAAAATAAAATTCTTAAATGATTTGTTTACCACATTGAAATAGACACAATGATACATAAACTAACACACACATTTACAATCCCAATGTTCATCTTCTTACAAAAACTAATGATCGTTCTTATTGATTAATAGGAAAGATAGAGGTTATATGATGTAAAGAACATTGAAATTTAGATTCACAAAAAATTCCATAACAATATAAAAATATTCAAGAATCAAAACCATGACATGTTTATAAAAATGATCGTCTTTTTCTGCCTAAAGCAAATGCTACTTGTAAGTGTTTTCATCACAGCTAATATCACATTAAATGGAAGAACTTCTGTATCAATTCATAAAAATGTTTTTCACTGTAAAGCACGATTTCAGCTGAGACGAACATAAATCCCATAAAATCCAAGACAAAGTGCATGTATGGTATCATCAGCAATTTCTAAAACTTCTTTGGTAGCAGTATTTCGATGAATTCAAGATGCATATCTGAATCGAGGGAAAGTACATCGGAATGTCCAATAAAAAGGAAAGGAAGTCAATCTTTATTACATACATCTAAATTTAACTCGGGGTGAAATCTTCTAAACTTGATATAACCTGACCGATTATTGGTCATTATAAAATAGCTTATTTAAACATTACAAGATGAATCCTAAATGAGAGTGACAGCATGTCTGAAGATAAAACTTGAAATGCAAAGAGACTTCTCATTGCCATCGCAGAACTAATTGATTGTTCATGATATAAAGTCTATGTAGAGATAAAATAGTAAAGGCCACAAGGTATACATATTTTAATGATGAGTTAGTGCTGTCTAAAATATATTAACATGGACAAATTAGAATTTATCGGAAGAATGAACTTGGAAAGTTTGAATAATTCATGAATCATCTTCGAAGGACAATAACTTTTTGATGATTCAGGATAACAAGCAATATATGACAAATTTGAAGCTAGATGTTTAAAAAGGTGCATTTATGATGGATATGAATAATTTATCTAAAAGTATGAATGCATGTATGTAATAGTTCAGTTCAAATCCATGACTGATTAAGTCTTTGCAGGCATATTCCTAGTTGAGAATCGAAAGGACGTTCACTTCATTAAGAGTCTATGGACTTAATGTCTATCTGGCTCTCAATATTGGACAAGATTAGATCTAATCAACATTCATAATCACAAACGACTAGCGTGTTTTGCTCCCCCTCCCCTTCGGTTGGACTAAAGGTTGGAGACGTGGGTGGGGTCTGCAGGTCCATGTCTGGTAGCGGGACCATCCTTGCATCCCCGTTCATCCCCTCTCCTCCAAACTGAAACTCAGGAGGGGGAGGAGGGAGGTCGTCCGGTGGAGGAGGGATGGCATAGGCATCGATCCCACCCTCTGGTATCCCCATCTTCTCGGGGAGGTACACTGCATCGTCGGGCCCGGAGGTTAGGGGAGGCTTCTCAAGCCCGGTGTTGGGGTCGTAGTAGCCCTCGGCGGCAAGGTCATCGTCGTTCATGTAAATGTTTTCCTCTGCGTTGCCGTTCATGTTGGCAAAGATAGGGTTCTCAAATGAAGATTGGTCAGGGGCTTCCTGCATATAGTGAAGAAACAAAATAAATAAGACAATGGACATTTTTTTCGCGTATGATTTCAGCTAGTACAAAATACATATTAATTTCATTTTCAATTGTTTGATATGATCTATCATAATTACGAATTACGAATAACGTCAGAACAATGATTTGACCTGATGAACATTGGGGGCAATGAATTACTTATAAGAACAAACGGAAGACACAATTTACAGAGAGAGAGAGAGAGAGAGAGAAAGAAAGAAGAGGTGGACAGAGAAAGTAAGAGGGGAGTGAGATAAACATAGAGGGGGAGAGAAAGAAAGGAGGAGAAAGAGAGAGAGAGAGAGAGAGAGAGAGAGAGTGAGAGAGAGAAGGAGGGTAGAAAGAAAAAGTGAGAGGGGGAGTGAGATATAAGAGGGGGGAGAGAAAGAAACTGGAGGAGATAGAGAAAGTGAGAGTGGGGAATAGAAACAATGAACTATACAGACATGCAGAGAAGGAAAAAAAATAAGAAAAACATAAAGAAAACACACCAAGATGATGGATTGTAGAAAAGGATGCATGAGAATTCCCTTTTTTAATTGAAATTTACATATATATAAAAAGTGGATAATGGTTGAACTCACATATTCCTGGAAAGGTAGCTCGACATTGGTTCCTGTCCTGTAAGTCACGTGTCCCTCTCTCTTTGGTGTTTTCACGATTCTACAGAAGATAATATAAACATACAGTATGACTCATAATATAAAATACATACCAAAATCACCAAGAAAATACATAGCTTTTTTCCTTGCTACCGCTCTTGCTCTATAATATAATCATGTCACAAAATAAAGGGAATTATATTCAAGAATCATAGCTTGATTGTGTTTATATAGAATAAAAGAATAGAAAACAAAGAATTATACAACATCAATCAATCAACTATAAAAAAATAAAATGGACTGACTTTCCTACATATTCATGTGATACACTTTTTTCAAATTGGATATATATGATTTGCATTTTTTGAAAAAAGTTTAATTGAAGTTGAATTGTATTAAGGTCAGGCACTAACAAAATATGAAAATGTCTCATCTTACCCGGTTCTTTTCCTGATAATAACAAAGACGACTATTGCCACGATAAGAACCACAACTGCACAACCTACTGCTATACCGGCCGTCGCTCCAGCATCTACAAGTACAAAACAAAAACAAGAAAGACAGGAAAAGTCAGTTTAAATCAAATTTATTTCAGGAACCTGTTTGCAATACTTCATTGTAAAATAGTGAAACTAGTAGAAATAGTTTTTTTTTTATACCAAATGATTCTTGCCTTCACTTGTGTGTTGCTTGCGTCAAAAGGTTATATTTGATAATTTCATGTTTTTGTTAATTTTCTTAAAATTTATGTTTCGTTTCAATTATATTATGTCCACGCACCAGAAGGGCTGTTTAAGAAATAAAAATCATTGTCGTTGCCATTGTCAATCTAAAATTTACAATTTAAAATGAAATAAAGCGCAGGAACAAACAAGGTGATAATATTTAAATTCATTGCGGTTCTGAACCTGTTTAAATACAGGGCAAGTCAAATACATATGTCATATTATTATAAGGTGTAGTGTAATTGCAAATTACAAAACAAATATCAAAAGTATACTTTTTCTTGATATGTATGCGTTTCCATCTATTTCCGTCAATAAAGGGGAGGATGTGGGAGGGGTCATTGATTATTCTTTGTCTGCTTATGTTCCTCGTTTTCCTTCTCTCTCTCTCTCTCTCTCTCTCTCCCTCCCCCTCTCTCTCCCTTTGCTTTTCTTTTCCATTCAGTTCGGGGAATGTGCCCATATATGCTCTTTCCCATAGCTACGACCCTGACTATAAGCATAAATTAACAGCAATGGTCACACTTACTTAGTCCCTCTTGCTTCAATGCCTGAGCTGCACAGTTTTCTCCGGTCCATCCATCTCTACACCTATAAGAAGAACACATCAAAATGGATTATAAGTTTTTGTATACTTAAAACAAATAAAGTGAAATACCAACAGAATTTTAAAAGAAGTAATCTATACTACATGCGAGTACAGAAAGGGTTGCTTTTTTATTAATGAATAATGTTAAATTCAATATCAAAATATTTCATGTACAATGTTCGAAGCGAAATTAAATATTACTTCACATTGTGCATTAGTCGTCTTCATTTGCTATGAGAATAATGATACATTAAAATATTGTATGAGAAATTAAAAGTAAAGAAAAAACAAGAGGTTTTGAAGGCATTAATTTAGCATACATGTATACTCTTTCTTTCTTCTTTAAAAAAAAAATCTTAGTACATATCAGTCCTCTTCTTAAACTTGTTAAAATGATTTATTTCGCTTATTCTGGCCTCTGTTAGAAATACTATTGCCAATTCATTGCTTGCAGAAGAAGAAAGAGAGAGAGAGAGAGTGAGAAAGAGAGAGAAAGAGAGAGAGAGAGAGAGAGAAAAGAAAGAAAGAATGGACTTACTCGCAAGTTCCATCATCCAGGCACACTCCTCCATTGAGACAGGGGCAGTTAGGGATCGGCTCAGGGAGAGGTCGTGGCTCAACAGTGGCTGGAAAACAAAACCATCAAGTTTGTAAGATATTCTACACAATAAACTATTGTGTGGCAACTGATTCTGTTGTACATATTCTTGTTTTGTTCTGCACCTCTACAGAATTACGCACATATTAAACTTAAAGTATGCTTCTTATATTCACTTCTCCCCGATCATGAAAGTGAAATTGAAGGCTATATTGGAGAATGACAACACATGTACGGAACAAATCGCAAGATGCACATTGTTTGGTATTGATAGAACCTTTGAAACGAATGGATATTAAGACAATTTCAGACACACAAAGTGAGACAACAAATAATGGAGCCAATTAATCAATGATACAAGAGAAGGGGAAACATTATAAAGAAGGGATAAATAGACAAACTAAGAATGAAAACGGGACACACAGGAGACAAAAAGAGATAAATGCAAAAGGGGGAAAGGAAGAAATAGAGGAGGAATAAGAAAAGTAGGAAAGAGAAGAGGAAAAGAGAAGATGAAATAGATGAAGAAACGGAAAAGGAAGGAGAAGAAGAGGTTGAAGAAGGAGAAGAAGAAGGAGAAGAAGAAGAAGAAGAATAAGAAGAAGAAGAAAGAAAAAAAGAAGAAGAGAAAAGAAGAAGAAGAATGAAGAGGAAAAGAAGAAGAGTATGAGTATGAAGCCTTAAGCTCACCGCTCATGCATATTGTTGAGCTGCCAGTCTGGAAGGAGTCACCATCCGGGCATCCACATGCGAATCCTCTAGTCCGTGTGCTACCATCTCTGACAGGTATCAGGAAACAAATATGGCTGCACGGGCTATCCTCACAACGATTGACAACTGTAAAGAGAAAAATGAACAATGAAGCTCAATGGTGAACATTTTTATTTTGTCCCTCTCGTATTTATTCCTTTCTTCTATCTATATGTGTAGTAGTGGTTATTTTACCTGACTGCTAAGAAAGCATAAATGCTTGTTAGTAAGCAACCAGAGGACCGACGGCTTTAGGTACTCTCCGAAAGACCTAATAATGATGATTAAAATGCCTTACCAAAGGGCACTAGCGCATCGCCTTGGTTTAAAACCTGGGTAGCAGGATTACGAGACCACTGCTCTACCAACTGAGCTATCGCGCCTCCTCGATCTATTCCATCCATCCATCTATTCATCCATCTATTTATCTATCTATTCATCTAACCATCCATCTATCTATCCAACTAACTAAATAGATATATCGATGACTATTGATCTATAAATGAATCTATTAATCTGTCTTTTTATAGTTTCCAATATTTTATCTGTTCATCCGTCCATCTTGATCTATTCCACTGTTCCCATGGGAATATAATCATATTACAACCGTTTTAAGATACCCCTGATAAAGATGACTGTAAAATAAAAACATGGTCAGCCCCGAAAATAAAATCCATCTTTCATACAAAGATAACAGTATCATCAAATGCTACGGGGTTGAATTTATATTTAGAATTGTTGCAGAGTATTTCTCTGATGTAAATGGTCATTTTGAAACGTACACTGTACATCTAAAATGTGTGATTTATAAAATAGACAGTATACAATACCACTTTTATTTTATTCATCTAGCACCTTATTCCCCACCCTGTCATGTCAACCTACCGTCGTTGAGGTTGTATCTCTGTTCCTGGTAAAGCTTCAGACCGCTTGGTTCATTGATGTTGGGGATCTCAGTGACGGAGACACCACGTCCCAGCTTGTCCAGTCGACGGATCTCCCCCTCAGCGCCCAGTGCAGCGGTAGTGAAGAAGATGTTAGCCTCAAAGACATCCAACTGTCTGGGCCTGTTCAAGGCTGCATCGGAGGAAGAAAAAAGAAAGGAAAAGATAAAGAAGAAGAAGAAGAATAGTAATGGTTCAAGACAGCAAGATACGATCAAAATAAAGGTCCAGACATCAGCCTATATAAATGACATTTTAGTATCAATCAAACTCAGCTAAGTTAAATAGAACTTTCTCACATTATATGAACATGACCGCAACTACTTAAAATATCAACATAAGGTTATTAAATGTCACCATTTGAAATATGCAACATAAAACTGACATAATTAAGTGATCTGAACATCTGGTTATACAGTAAGGTATTTTGAATTGATTTTTTCCAAAATAGTTGCGAGCGTGTTAAGGGAAGATCAATATCAAATTGAACTTACTCGAAGCTGCTCTCAAGACCTTCCTGTTGCTTCCATCCCAGTTCATTGACTCGATGGCGTTCCTGCTTTGATCACACCAGTATACCATGTCATTGTTGGCAAAGTCGATGGCCAAACCAGTCGGCATCTCGATCGAAGTGTCCACAAGGACCTGACGTCCATCGCCATTCATCCAGACCATCTCAATTTTGGGCGTGGAACCGATGTCTGACCAATAGAGGATTCTGGTGGACATGAAAAGTGGTTTGTTTTTATGAAATAACTTGTTTTGATTAATAATTTGTTATAATCGTACAATAGTTTTATTAAATTAAGAAAAAGTTCATACACGCCTTGCGACTCAGGTGAAGTAAACGGGTACCAAGTAGACAAAAATACTGTAATTCTTGGGCGTTTAATCATAAAAGCATTCAATTCAGAAGAGTATGAATTATGTCTTAATATATCAATCATATTTCTTCAATTCCTATTATTTGTTTACCGACACGCATACAATGCTTATGTCTATCACTGGAACATAAATAATATTTGGAATGTATTCTATGAAACGATAGCGACGTAAACACTTAGCACTTGTAACATGTAACATAACAAAGTCGGATGAAAACGTTCATTTGTTATTGTGTCCATTGCCCTACAACTATTTCATTTGTAACAACTGATGTCACGATGTTTGTTTGTTTTACCGATATGTCACAACATGTACTTTGTTCAAATATATTGTTTCGTTCTTGCTCAATGATTGAATACAATTTTTCTTTGGAAAAACAAACAAAAATCATTTTCTATTATTTCCCTTCCATTTATTATGTGGAGGTAAATTTTACAATTGCGGCCCTAAACCATTTCCTTTGATTGATGAGAGGGATTCGGCATCAACCATCTGAAGTTTTCACTACTAACACAAAATTGCCTATTTTATAATCAGTCTTCTTACCCCATGCGTGGGTTGACGGCTAGGGCGGATGGCATCTCGATACCATCCTCCACCAGAGCACGACGGTAACGCCCATCAAGCGTTGCCGTGGAGATGGAGAGGGAGGGGTGATGGCCGTCCCTCTTCTTCCTTCTAGCTTCGATATTATCACCTTCCTCTGACTCCTCACCCAGGTCGGTCCAGTAAAGGTTTCTGAGACATGATCAAGGAAAAAAAATGTTTGAAATTGCATATTCAATTCACACTTAGACTGAACATATTTGGATTATTTGATCAAGTCACTTAGGTAGAATAATAAATGACTTTCATCATACGTTATTTAAGCTTTTATATTTTCAAGTGATCAGGGCATAGATTTTTAAGAGCTAAATAACATTGATCCGCATTTCTTCTTCAAATTGACACAATAATATTATTTTTATATTCTTGGTACTTTTTTTTCTTCTAATAAACAGTACTGCTCTTGAAAAGAATAAACTTAGTATCAAGAAACTATCTTTGTAAGGCCTAATTAATACACATTTTGTGTTAATGGTGAACAATAATTTCAAACTTCTTTAAGTGCTCCCAATTGGAGATTTTAATTCTTTTTTTCCCTCCAAAATTCTTGGCGTCAAAATACGCATCATGATTCTACAGAAATGGGTTTTGCTTATGCAGATATTGAGTAAAAAAATTGATATATTTGAGGCGTGTCATGCATTGGCTTATCTTACCCTCCAAACCAGTCTACAGCCAACTCCTGAGGGCGGTAGACATTTAACAGTGGTAGTTCATCGGGTACTGCAGACTCATCACTGGTTGGTATGTAGGCTCGCATCAGGCCTGGGATAGCAGGGTCTATCCAGTAGACCACACCTACGAGAGAAACAACGAGAAACAACAAGAAATTACGAGAAATAATGAGAAACAACGAGAAATAATGAGAAACAACGAGAAATAACGAGAATTAACGAGAAATAGCGAGAAAGGCAAATTGTTATAGTGTATACCATGAGGAGACTCAAATGTAGATTTTACTTCTCTGTCAAAGGGGAGGGTTGTTAGAGCATTTTTAAATTATGGGGAAGCTTAACGCATGTTAAGCTGGCCAGGCTACATCCAGATAATTATACACCCGAAAAATGCTTAAGTGGATACGACAGGTAATATTTAGCATGGGTCAGCAAGCCTAGTCATCTTATTAGCTCTACCTATTATTGTGGGTCACTTTTTGTATTTATTATCATTTCATCAGGTCTGTGGAGCGTTATGAATTCTTTATCCTGTCCATTAGAGCACTCGTTAGACAATATTGCTTGATATTTTTTGTAATATAAAGCTTGAAACCCCAATCCACTAAAAATGTGCACAAAATAATCATATTTGCTCGTCCATTATTACATTCTAGTTGCCCCGCACAAGAAAAAAAAAACAGGTTTGTAGATTCCAAACATATCATACCTCTATCAAAATTATAATCGAGGGACCGGATGATCCCTTGTGTGGTGAGAAGTACTCCATAGTTCTTTGTTGCGTCGTCATAGTAACGGACCTCATCATCCTCACCAAAGAAGAACTGCGGTCTGGCCCCTGATCAGAATCACAAAACAAAAATGTTATTGCAATCATCTGTTTATCCGTCTGTCTCTTTCCATATAGTGATTCAAGTTAACCAAAACTGTCTTTTATCGATTATGTGAAACATTTTCTTCATCGTTGCATCGTTTCAAAAATTCTAATCCAAGAACCATTATTATATTTTCAAATCTGATGTATATATCCATCAAAGTTTTGTAACTTACCTACAGCCTTGCAGTCTTGACCTCTTAAGATGACCCCATCATCAACGTATCCCTCAGAGCAGGTACATTCATAGGACCCCTTCGTGTTAGAACACTGCTGTTGACACGGGTTGTCCAAGCACTCATCAATATCTGCAAGTACACACAAAATAGTATCAAGCATATTTAACATCAATACAGTAAGCATATTTCGCTGCATTACTTTTTGCTGTCTTGGAAGGAGGAGAAGAATTAGGAGAAGAATGAGAAGAAGAAGGAAAAGAATATACATAGGACATCTAGGTGTTAAAACATTGCTGTTTATAGGGGTTGTCTAAGCACTCATTGATATATGTACGTTCACACAAATACATTCTCTATAAGTAAGTAAGTAAGTAAGTACAATCAGCAAGTAAATTTAGCATTGAATCTACTCTTTGATACCTACAAATAAATGAACTAAATAATACTTACTTACACATGCTTTTACAAATTCTGATCTTTTGATTTTAACCTTTTCGTAATTTAGTTTACGTTTCTTATTACACAGCTGTTCTTTCTATTATGCTGTATTAAATGTGTTAGAATGACATTTATTATGATGTTAGGTTTAAAAATGGTTTCATGAACTCTTCAGGTAGATCAAGCCCAAGCTACATCAGTCTTTTTTTTCTCCAAAAGAGAACATTATAAAGAAGCTGGATTTTACAGAAGATTTTGTAAATATTTCAAACTATATTATTCTTTTTATTCAAAGTGCACTATCATATCTGTACGCGATGTAAATCTATCTTCATCCATCAATTTAGCATCTGGTTGGATAAGTAGTTCTACAATCAGTCCATCTTTATCCTTCCATCTTGTATCAAGTTTTCTTACCTTCACATCCTGTTCTATCTTCAGCTAGCTGATGTCCATCTGCGCATGAGCAGTAATAGCCCATATCCAACTCATTGCATTGCTCCTGACAGCCGCCATTGTTTTCCGCACAACTACCAGAATCGTCTGAAAGAACATAAAATGAGAATGAACACGATCACAAACACTTCCAAGATGGAGCAATTTCAACAACTTGTTGTATGTCTCAAGTTAAAGGTAATACAAAGTTTTGGGAAATTTTGAAAATGGCCAGATAGCAATTCTTTAAAATGTTGATATATTTGGATGCCCCTAGAAAGTTAGCCCCTAAAACACTTCTGCTTTCGAGAAAAATTGAATATCAAAGTTACCGGTGCTCCCGGTAAATTTTGATAAATTTCAAATAGCGCCTTTACGGCCACCAATGGTAGCTGCGACCATGAAAATCTCAGAATATGCAGTTGTGATATATAATTTTCAAACGGGGATAGCCAACCGGTCGATTTTAGTCAAGAAACATAATTTCAAAGCTAAATTAATATCCTGACCTTCAGAGGAACTATACAACATAAAGAGTTTTTTATTTACAATTTCATCACTTAACCCTATTTAGCCCGGGGGGGGGGGGCTTGAGAAGCCCCCCCCCCCCTCGACATTTTTCGCGATAATTTTTTAACGCAAGAAAATCTTGCACTGAAATTTTGTGACTTTTTTCTTTCGAGTCTTGCGCAACTTTTGAAAGAAATTTTTCGAAAATCGGACCTACCATTACAAAGGCACGTGTCCTTTTGTCTTCGCATGTCAGCCCGAAAATCGCTCATCTTTGTGATTTGTGTACAAAACATATGGAAATCTCATTTTTCAATTAAAGAGGTTAAACATTGGTTATTTGGTCTTGTTTAGATTCAAAACAATAGATAACATAAGGAATAACCCTGGTTTTTCAAATTTTTGTAGTATTATTATTCCAAATTGTCTAACAAATATATGTAGTGAGAAAGAATGCTTAAATATGAATAATGTCTGATTTATGGGCAAAAATGTGAATTTAATGACCTTATTTGCATAAATTACCATAAATATGCAAATGAGTGAATTTTTCAAAAAAATTGAAATTACCATAGTATTCTATACACTTCACTTGACATGCATGCAAATTTTCGCGGCGATCGGGCGTTTCACGGCCGAGATCATAGGGGGGGCCTTAGAAGCCCCCCCCCCCCCCGGGCTATGCAGTTTCAAAATAGCCCGGGCTAAATAGGGTTAAGATTCGATTTCAACCTCGACAACGATCACTGAATATGGTAGGATCGCACATGCTTCCAATATGTTCATACCAACACTTTGTATTACATTTAAGGTTATCAAATATGCCAATGTAATGTTTTTTCTGGTACAATTCTTGTAAAATGCAAAAAGACTTTACTTACAGCAGCCATATTCATCTGATTGGTCTCCACAATCGTCTTCAAGATCACACACATATTCCTGAGGGATACAGTTCTTGTTGATACACTTAAATTCCTCTGTTGTACACTGCCTCACCTCCTCACCTAGACAAACGAGAGAAAATAGCACCAATTTTACAACATGGTAATGGGCAAGTATCCCATCAAATTAAACTATGAATATCCGTAAATAGGAGTCGTGTTTCATCCTTTATTGATTCTGTTTTAATAAATTCACGTCTTCAAATAAAAAATCGAATGTGGTGATGACTTTAGTAAAATAAATGCAAACAAAAGGCGGGTGACTTTAATTGAACTTCAAACTTATGAAAGTTACAGCAACAACTTCAACCGATGGCACTTTCATCAGGTCTACAAAGAGGATTTACATGTACAACAAAATATGCAGTAGCAACTACCTACTTAGAAAGACCACCAGTCTCTTGAACAGTGTTTAATGTTGAAACCTGTAATCTGTACAAAATAACCGCCTGCTTAAGGAGACAACATTTTGTCTTTTTTTAGTGGGTTTTGATGCTGTGACTGTATCGAGTTGCAACACAGCCATAGGCAGCATCAAAGGTGTAAAAGATGGAGAATATAATACTTACAGAAATCGTGGTTGTTTTCATCACTAGCATCACCGCATGTATCGACGCCATCGCAGAGACCACTGCGAGGTATGCAGAATCCATTGTCACAACGCCATCTTTCTTCTGGATCACACGGTATAGAGGCTAGGGAAGAAAATAATCAGAAAGAATGTCTTCATGTCTCTCAAGAACAAGGATATAGTTGTACAGTGGTACAATTTTGATTTTTCTGATAACTAAAAAACACTTGTGTATTTATACGGAGTCCTCAAAAGCATGACTTGAAACCTTAGACCCAATATATATCAGTATTATGTTCAAAGCCAATTTTGAGTTCTTAATGAAATTTCATTTCAAGAAAACCACATGTAGTAGATGGATTGTTCGGACCAGAACAGTTTAAACAAACAAAAGCATTTCCTAGTCTTTTTAATCTTCAAGAGACAAACATTAAATCCCGTCTGCACTAGTTTGGCTAGGGGATTAGACCTCTCTGCAAGGTCACTACAGGTGGTTATCTTATCAAATCAGCTCTCAATTATAATAAGGAAAAGAGGACCATGGGGACCAACAGGCACTGATTAGGCATTGTTTGGTATATAGAGGGCGCAAGTAGCTATAAGTAGTGCAGCGGGGCTTTAACTTACAGCATAGAGACAGGGTCTCATCGCTGCCGTCCGGGCAATCATCCGTCCCATCGCACCGCCAATCAAGAGGGAGACAAACCGTATCATCACAGGTGAACTGGTTGGGGTAGCAGTACAACCCTTGAGGTAGACGGGTAGCTGGGGAAAGAAATTGAGGAGAGTAAGACGATCAGACATAATACACGATTCACCTGGAGGTGATCTTACACTGCTCACTAAATAACTTGCAGTCCATTCCCACTGCATTTCTACGTTATGATCTGCATCTCAAACTAAATGGTCCATGCATTATAATTGCTGTAAATATACCTATCTATATACTTTATCTTTCCTTTGTTATGCAAATATTTGTGTGTGTGTCTCTCTTCATCAAAATGGGTCGTGGCTGGGTTTCAAGGATGTTTTTGCAAGTCTGTCATGGGATCCATCCATCTATCCAATCATCCATCCATCCTTCTATCAAACCATTCCCTTCTTTTAAATTACATTAATCGCGTATATTTTCTTTGTTTCGTATATTTTCTTTATTTGGTATATGGCTTATCGACTTCCAAGAGTTTCTCCCTCCTCTCTATTTATCACACGATCCTGGGCCCTGATTCACAAAAGTTATGATTAATTATGAATCTATACTTACGACAGTTGACTTCATCAGATGAGTCTTGGCATTGGCTAGTTCCATCACACACAAACTGCTCGTCAATACAGTGGCCACTGTCACACTGAAACTGGGTTGGGAAGTAGCACATTCGTTCCGCTATAAAAGAGAACAATATGGGGGACATCGTATAAGGACTCTTTTTTAAAGTTGGGTCATGCAGTCATGTCAATATTTCCATACAAGAGATGACCACCTACTAGGTCGTACACACGAAACGTATTTACTTGTCATGTCTTTATAATTTAATGGATATACGACAGTCTGAAAAAAGGGGAAATAGTAATATATAAATAACTCGTTGAAAGTCTTAACAAATTATTAAACTGTCTCTAGTCGTGACCATATAGATCTCCCGATTGCCCCTACTGCAGCGTATATCTCTTGCACTTTATGAATATAAATATTGTCCTCTCTTAACACGGCACAGATTAGTTTTGACCTAAGCATTTTGTTGTTGATGCGTACATCCCACCGCTGCCATGTTAAAAGATGGTTAATATTCACAAGCTGAATATTGGGATCCAAGAGGGAGAGAGATGGAAAGGGAAAGGAAAAGTAAGAGGGAAAGGGAAAGTAAGAGGGAAAGGGAAAGAGAAAGTGAAAGGGAAAGAGAAAGAGAAAAAGAAAGGGAAAGGGAAAGAGAAAGAGAAAAAAAGAGGAAAGAGAAAGTGAAAGGGAAAGAGAAAAGGAATAGAAAGAAGGTAAGGGAGAGAAAGAGAGATAGAAAGAGGAATTGAGAGAATTAAGACATGAATATAAATTGGCAGAAAGAGAAAAAGAGACAGAGAGAGACAGAGAGAGAGACACATAGAGAGAGACAGAGAGAGAGAGAGAGAGAGAGAGTGAGTGAAAGAGAAAGAAACAGTACTTACGGCAAGCAACCTCATCTTCTCCACCAGGACAATCTTCCTCGAAGTCACAGACAAATCTAGACGGGATGCACTTGTTGGAAAGGCAACGGAACTCGCTCTCTGAACACTGCCTGAAAGCTGTAAATCACCATGAAATAAATGATATAACATTAACATTAACATTAACAATAATGATAATGATAACAATTTTCTTCAATTTCAAAATATAAATTATAATATTCAAATTGAAACGCGTAGTGGTCCTGATTAGCTAATTGACATAAAATTTCATACACTTACACAAGCTCATCTAAATTACATTGATTTTATGTTCAGAACGTAGAAGTAAAGTTTTAACAAAAGTATTACTTGTGCCAATTTGAGGAGGCATTGTTAATTTAATAAGACCTTTGTATTTAATACGTACTACAAGCTTGTTCATCTGAATTATCTCCGCAGTCATTGTCAAAGTCACACACCCAACGTTGAGGGACGCAACCTCCATCGGTGCACTGGAATTCACCAACCTCACAGGTGGCAGTGTCTACGAGAAGAAGAAAAAAACGAAATGTTTTATAAAATAGCAGTAAGTGGGCTATATGTTCTCAGAACATACATGTCAATTTTGTGAACGATGTTGACTTGACGCATAATATATGCACATAAGAGATAGGAGACTGCAAACTTGCGATTGATTTGGATCACTCGCAACTCTTTATAAGACGGGGCCCAGGAATAGATTTGTGGTTCTAGAGATGGGAATGATTAAATGATAGCACACTGGAAGAAACATGAATGTATAATCTGTAGAAGGAGGTCGGAGGATAGAAATCAGAACAAATACTTTTAGGTCAAATAGTGGGATTATCATACTTATTAATAAGATACTTATAAAGTTGATGATGACATTCCATTTTGAATAGCGCGAGCGAGTTTATGTTATAAGTCCCTATGTGCTTCAAGGTACTTCCAAATTTTCGTCTATAAGTTTCGTCAGCCTTTGCCAACGCACTTGGCATTTTAAGTAATAAATCCACCATCCATATATTTAAAATCCAGGTTGAGACATAGAAAATTGTTAAAATATTTGAAAAATACCAGGCTCATATACTAACTTAAGCACCCGGCGGAGATTCGAATATTTGAGGGTCAGAGTTATCATGGCTAAGTTAGGGTAGAGTTTCGAACCCTCGACCTCTCGATTGCGAGTCTTATGAATGAACCACTGACCCACGATGCTACTTACCACATTGTTCTTCATCAGAGTTATCACGGCAATCATCATAGCCATTGCACAAGGACCAGGACGGGACACAACGGTAGTTGGACACGCAGGAGAACCAACCGGTAGGGCAGGTTGTTTGGGACTCTGTAATCAATAAAGATAAAAGTTCATGTTAACATATTTACATTCTGCCCACCCTCTTTGGAAAGTATTTCACAATTGCTTAAAGAATGTCTTGTTATGCATCAATTTATCGAATAATTCCTTTTTTATCTCGATAAAAAATACCTGCTTTGTTTCCCAGATCGTTAAACAATCTAGTTTTACTTTTTTTGGTAATTATTATATAATGCAAAACAGTTAACAGTTAATATTCTCTTCACAAATGAAATAGGAACGCGGGTTTTGGATTAAGAAAACGCCGTGATGAAATGGAGCGGCTTATACTGTACAGAAATTTTTGTTGTATATCTAGATAAACGAAAACGTGTACAACTCGCGTTTCATTGTTCGTTTTGACGATCATAACACTTGGCATTTCTGTGAAACTGTTGTTGGTTTTGGGTTATGTAGTTCAAGAACGGCAGAATAAATCGTTAATGGAAACAAAGAAAACGTTAACGTTGTCATAATATGTGGCCATTGCACTTCTCAACGTCACCAATAAAAGTAATAATGGTAATAATAAAAGATTAAAGATCAACTTACGACACTCTCGTAGAGGTTCATCGCTTGCATCTCCGCAATCATTGTCCAGATCACACACCCATGTTTGTGGGATGCAATATCCTGTACCACACTGGAAATATCCTTCGGAACATTCTCTTTCAGCTAAGAAAGATAATTTTTAATATCAATACATAAGTAAGGGGTAGTGTAATTGAGACACATCAAGAAAGTACTTTATACTTGGCCCGACCATTTGAGCTGAACATTTGTGGGTTCAAATTTTAGTAGTTAACCATAGTAGTAACCGAATTTTAGCAACTTTGAAACCTGTAGAGGTTCTCTCTTCAGCGAAACACAAAGCGCCCGTTATTTTCCCCTTCAGGCTTTCTTAGTTTTTAATTTGTTCAATGTATAAACGTGACTCTCTTTAACAGATCAGGCTAAGCCCAACTACCGTACTGCGAGTCCAACTTTATATTTCATCCATGAAGATGAGACGATCCTGACTTTAATTTCATTACTTGAACATCACCTACATCATTATCATGTTTGAAAGATAGACCATTACTTTTAATGAATGGCACGTCGTACTCTCATCACTCATTGATCGACCTCTACGTTTATTTTCAGGTCAACTCATCTCTTTCATCACCAAATTTACAACGTATATCCTAATAAATATATATTCAGTGCACTTACCACACACGTCCTGTACTTCATCAGAGCTATCCGGACAGTCATCTTCACCATTACAAGCAAGAACATGGTTGATACATGATCCCGTCCTGCATCGGAATTCCCATGGCTGACATACTGTATTATCTGGAGAAAAAGAGTTACAGAGAAAAGAGAAAGAAGTTCTGTTATTCTATGTAAACTCTCTCTTCGTTTGCGACAATGGTCGTAAAATAAACAGTAGTAGCAATAAAGCATTCCGTGACAGACACACATTACGAATGTTTCTAATCTAGATTTCAGTTCCTCATCATGTCAAAGAATAATACCACTTGTAGGCGGGTGGGGGAGGTGTTAGCGCCAGCCGCCGCGGTCCACCCAGAAAAGAACATTTATGAAATTCAAATTGATTATACTCCGAGGGAACAGAATGCAGACGCTCCCCTTTCAAGATCTTGGAGGGCCTGCTTGATTCCTTAAAAATCATAGGTCGGCAAAATTCTGCCCCACCCCATCCTTTCTGACAAACCTGGATACGCCCCTGTAAGGATTCTTTCTAACGAAGCCGAGTAGGCCTATACTTACTGCAGTGTACTTCGTCCGATCCATCCAAACAATTGGCCTCTCCATTGCAGAGTTCGGTGGAGGAAACACAGGCCGTATCGTCGCACTGGAAGGTCCTGTCTGGGCAGTATCGTGTCGCTGTGATGAAAGGGAAGAAGGATAAGGTTAATATGATGCTATCTAGCTAGGTTTTCTAGATAGATTAGAGACATAAGAACGATGAAATTATTATAACATGTAAAGAAGGAGGTAGTTGGGGGGAGAGAGAGAGAGAGAGAGAGAGAAGGGAGAGAGAGAGAGGGTAGAAAGATAAATATAATCGAAGAAAGCGTAATGATAGTCAGCTACAAAGACAGAGAGGCAGAAAATATGCAAAGCAGTAATTCATCTCCTACCTTCACTTTGTGGACACTACAATTATATCGAAAATAATAATTTTTGATTTTAAGGAGAAACAAATTATTAAAAAACACCTTAATCGAGCATTGAATCCTTTTACTAGTCTTGTTGCTCAGAAAGGTCTTGTTAAATTTATAAACCCTTTCATTTTCATACAGGCATCACTCAACAACTGTTTTATTTTCCCTCTCTTTCTAGACAACTTACGACAATCCGTCGGCTCGTCAGACCCATCGGTGCAATCAGCCTCCGTATCACATCGCCATGACAACGGGATGCATTTCTCCTGGTTAGCGCACGCGAACTGGTTAGAAGAGCAGTCCACCAGACAGGTGACACGGTCCCGGTCAAGCACAAAGCTGTCCGGACAAGCACACGTGAAGGTCTGCCCACCAGGGGCAATGAGGCACATGTGTGAACAGCCCCCGTTGTTGTTTCCGCAGGGGTTAACGAGAGCTGATAGGGAGACAAGTGTGAACATTCCCATAATGTAAACATTAGTTCAGGACAAATTATATTGTAGATAACGAACAACCGAAAGTATGGATAATACCTTTTGTGTCTGTGTTTTTATTTTCATCGCCATTTCCACAAGTAAACATTGTTCATGATAAATTACATATTATATAAGCATTATAAATACGGAGGATAGCTAATTTTGGTGATATTTGACTAAATTCCACTTTTATTTCACAGGCATGACGTAGTCCATTCCTTTTAAATGTTCTTTGTCGAACAAATGAAAGTATTTCCAGATCAAAATAACTGACGAAATTCTTGGTGTCAATAAGTATTTAAAGAATGTTGTATATTCCACTCTGATTCATGTACGCTTTGTTCAGAAGACATATATACCAAAATACGTGATTATTTTTGGAAAGCCCCTTAACTCGTCGATTCTTGAAAGATTTTGAAAAATATGCCCTAAAAAATGACTTCATCTTTGGCATCCCAGGTGGAAATTAATTAAAGACATCCAATATTATATAACTATTTCAAACTACGGGAAAGGTTTTTACAATATGACCAACATTATAATCCTATCAAGAACTAAAGAAAGATTTCCGATAACACAGGACTAATTCTTAATTTGTTTTAATAAAACATATCATGTGAGTAAAGAATTTGATTGGTGATGAAAACAGCCGTACTTTGATCCTGTCGAAGTGGATGGTAGATGTGTATGTCCATGGGAAGCTGAAGGGTTTCCAGGTAATCCATTCCGTTTCGACCCGTCAGCTTGTTCACCCGATGCACGGTCCTGTGGTTCCAATCCGTCAGGTAAACGTAGTTCTCAAATATGGAGAGAGCAAACGGGTGCGCCAGCGGTGTGCCGCGCGTTATCACGAGGTGAAGGTTTGTGCCGTCCAGATTAGAAAATCTAGGATCCACAAAGAAAGAAAAACAGTGACAGATTAGTGTTTGGTGATTGAATATGGCTACGGCTGATCAAAAGCTTGAAGAAATAGATGAGATATCTCCTCATCAATGATCTCAAAACAACTTCGATAATCCATTGGCTTCACCAATTTTCTTGGGAATAGGAGGCAAGATGACAGCCTCTTGTAGCTTTATAACTAAAGAAAAAAAGACAATATCCATGGGAAAAGAAGGGTAGAAAATTTGATCTAGGAAAATATCTTATTGTCTTTTAATCCAAAAGAATTCGAATGGATGATATTTTTTTCACCTGCTCTTTTCGATGGCATCTGACATTGTCACTCTAAACATGTATCCATACATATCGAATACATTTGATCGCAAGCATGAGATATAGTAGAATAAGACATCGATTATATGCATTAATTTTCATAAAACCGTTCACATCTACAGTTTTTATGGCACATTGTTAGCTACAAATATATTGCTTCTTTCAACACTCACCCTATATGATTGAGATGAGCATCGCACCAATACAACCTCTCTGCAGCGTAGTCTATGGTCAGACCATTGGGGAAGACCATCTTGTTGTCATGGATACGGGTCTTATCCGTGCCATCCATGCCCACACGTCCAATATGGGCATCAAGACCCCAGTCTGTCCAGTAGACGTATCTGTAAATACAGACAGAGAATCAACACAGCATGTTATGGTTTCGGCAATTTATTCACGTTTCGAAGAAGGAAACGCAAAGAATGGATTTATATAAAAAAGGTTATTTTCATGAATTGTTCCGATTCTCTAAAGGAAACAAAACATCACTCGGAACGAAGCAAGAACGCGCCAAATAATCAGACTCTTTCAACTGAAAATATAAAATATTTGAGATGCGCATAAATAATATTGCTTGAAAAGGCGAACAGATTATTCCAAGCAAAAATCTCAGCGTTTAAAGGTGATTTCCCCTCCTCTCTCAAAAAGTGTCATTCCAAAACCCAAGCCCAATGAAATTGCTCATCATAAGTGGACAAGTGTGGTGTTTGGTTTTCTGGCTTGCTCCGAAATCCACCGGCATTGTGGTCTTAACTCTCCACATGTCCTACACAAGAATGAAACACTCTTTAACTCCAATCACAGAATTCGGAATAAGAACATGAATGTCTCACCCATGTTTAGGGTTGACCACCACAGCCCTCGGTTGGTCCATACCGGTGTAGACCAGGGTCTTTCTCTGACTCCCATCCAGCTCAGCTACCTCCATTACGTCGTTCACACTGTCCACCCAGTACAGCTTCCTGTTATACAAAGATAATGCGTTCACATTCAGTAACTTGATTTTACATAGTTTAATAGTCTAAGACTTGATGAACTGAAAGATTAGAATAACATTTTATTTCATTAATACGCCATTTTCACTTCCTCACCAATCGGTTTTAAACTTCCCCAATACAGCATTATGCAAATACAGGCATACGATCTTTTTAAACACCAACGTAATAGAGGACGTTCCCGAACAAGGAAATAGATAGAGAAAGTGTGAGAATGGGAAAAGGGAGGGGGAAATGAAAATAAAATGAAACGACCCTCCGTTCACACCCCCATCCCTTGATGGCCTTGTTTTCTCGTACTCTAACAAAAGACCTGCAGTGCTCCTCAAAAGATGCCCTTACCCCCATCAACGACCAGATCCATACGCTACGCCACATGTTTGGATATCAAACACTTACCTTCCAACCCAATCCACGGACATCCCCTCTCCACCGTTCACGAAGTCGTCGATGATGACCTCACGATCCGTTCCGTTCATCCACATACGAACGATGTGCGCCCGGAAGACGTCCAGTACGAAGAGACGACCTTCTCTGTAGTCGAAGTCGAGAGCGACTGCGCCTTGGAAGTCGTCTGCGATGAGATTGTAATCACGCCCATCGAGTGAGAGCGATCGAACGTAGTAAGAGTTGCTGAAGATTATCAGAGGGTCGATTCCTACGGTGACAAATAGAAGGGAAAGATTACAAAATGGTATAACAATAATAATAATATCCGTGAGAAGACAAAAAAAAACGCGTTCAAGCAGTCTGAAATCTTTTTTTTTTTTTAAAGCAGTGGTGTATCTAGGGTGGAGGGAGGGGGCACATTTTATTCACGACAAATTCGATTTTTAGCTCAAGAAGACATTAATACGACCATGATTCTTGATAGACTTATCTTTTGAAACGCTTCCTAAACTACTTTTTCGCTAAAACGATGTTTCGTCAAAAGACGTTTCCAACGACGTAAGGACGAGAGAAATTGAAATATTGTACGGTTTTAGCATAGTTTTCGTACGAAAACTTTTCGAAAAGTCACGTCATATAGCTATAGAATTATCCAGTACGCAATATCGTATAGCTCTAGGGGTATCGTACAAACATTGTATAGCTGAATCGTAAGAAATGTAGTATAGTTCTCTTCGTGTGAATGGGGTTATTTTGATGCTTACCTGAGTTGTGTTTACACGATTTTCCATCAGTCTCAAGTGTATAGCCGTCAACACACTTGCAGAGGTAGGATCCAACTGTGTTCTCACAAACCTGACTACAGAGCTCTGGCATATCCGAACACTCGTCAATTTCTAAAATAACAACATTAACAATATAAATTGTCATTATATTATAAATAGGTCATCTAGATAGAATCAATCCATTGTAATTTTCTCTCCTTTTTGAGCATCGTTGTATATTGTGATATGAGATTCCCCCACCCCCTCATTTGTAAAAGACATTGCTTCATACCATTTGGTTTTCATAGAGCGAATTTTGTTTTAAGTGAATTGGAACCTGGCTCAAGTGTAAAAAGATATTTCAGAAGAAAAAACAAAAAAAAATTAGTTTGAAGCAAATGGTTTATCTATGAATATGTCTGGGGAAAATGACTTACTTTTCCATATACAAGACATATGGATATTCGGTTGGCAAACGGACGGCATTCAAAACGTATTTGTATCATCATGCAAACATTCTGACTTTTCTAGTTCTATTTTCTTGTCGATATTCGGTTAGTACTGAAAATTCGGATAAACTTTGTGTCATAGCCCAAAATATTAAACGGTAACTGTAAGTGGCCATAAGGTCTCACTAAACTGCAATATTAGCATACACACATGCATACTTACCGGCACAAGTTCTTCTATCAGGGTTTAACCGGAAACCAGTGTCACAGGTACAGTAGTAGCTGTTTGCCGTGTTCACACAATCATGCTGGCACCCTGTGGCGTTGTTCTCACACTCGTTCACACCTGTTCGTATAAAAAGAGAATACACACAGATTTTAACTAAGCCCCTTTATATAAACCTCAGTCGCCCCGACAGAGTCCTTTTAAATCGGAAAAACATATTCCACGTGGGGCGATGTAGTTTAGTGCGGCCTGACTGATTAATTATTATTATTTTGTTCAAATATTCGTTCTTCTAATCAAAGACCTATATAATATATCCATACAGTTTGTTAGATGATGGGTAGCATTATTTTTGTTTAAATCATTGTTTCAGTATACGTCGCCGGACTGTCGATCACAAGGTCCGCGGTTCGAGTCCCGCCGCGGCACTAATGTCTTTTGGCAAGACATTGTTCTACATTTGCCACACTCAACCCAGGTGATGTAAATGGGTACTTGTCAGGAATTAATTCCTTGAAATGCTAGAGCGCCGCAATGCCAGCACAGCTAAAGCCGGGGTGATTGATAATCTCCAAGTTTGGAAGCTCTTAGTGGTTCTAATAAGCGCTATATAAAAACTGAGTATTATTATTATTATATCCTGCTTCATGCTTCATAGACAAGACAATTATTCTTAAAAGCTGCATTTTATAAAGTAAACCATTCGCAATTGCCCATTTTAGTCTTTTAATACACCAATAGAAAATGGTGGGGTAATTAGAATCATTAACCTTCAGAAAATATTGGCGGAATTTTAGGCAGATTGCAGCCTCAACATTGCAGTTTCAACTTACCACAGCGGTATTCATCCAAACCGTCGCTGCAATCGACTTCGTTATTACAAACTAGTTCTTGCAGGATGCACTCCTCATCCCCACACATGTATTCTCCTGCTGCACACGTAGATTGCTCATCACCTGTACGAAGACGGAGGAAGACAAGAATGACAATATTGTTTGCTTTTACCGATATATTCGAATTAATTGGGTTGATTTTGTTCATCATGAATGATTTAATAGAATATTTCATTGAAAACAAAAAGATTGTAGTAAAAAAGTATTGTTCATTTTCTCCGTAACGTAATCAGATTTATGGACATTACCTTATTAGTATCTGCTTACGACATGTAATGGTTATTATGTTATGTTAGTGACTTTAAAAGATCAAATTCAAGCTTCTTTAATTTGAAAATGGGAGAGAGAAAGAGAGAGAGAGAGAGAGAGAGAGGAGGGGGGGGGGGGAGATAGATATGTAGTTGTAGAAAGATACAGAAAAAATTGATTGGAATAAACAGAAATGGTTATTTGGACTTTAACTTGCAAATGAAAGAAAAGTGTAAAATCGACCGTTAAACTGGTATTATCAACCGTCATCTTAAATAAGTTTACATCTACCGAAGACGAGAAAAAACAGATTCTTCTTAGATTCGTAAATTTTCTACGAAATCAATTGCTCAAATACGTCATTTTATTAAGCCTTAATTTAAGACAAAAAACCTTGCCTACAAAATACCCTGCCTACAAGAGGACAAATGCACTGGGTAGAGATTCGAAACCCAGACCTTTTGATTATTTAAGTGTGAAGAGCAAGAGAAAGAACCCCTATACCACAATACCCCACTACAATATAATATTACAATCTTTTGGAATACTTACCACACCCCGTTTCATCTGAGTTATCTCTGCAATCATTCTGTTCATCGCATCTCCATGACGCCATGACACACCGACCATTGTTACACGTGAATTCATCATCTGGATCACATCGAGTGTAATCTGCAGAGTCAAAGGTATTTAGGGTTACTTGCAGTTTCATTTCTCTTACTGAAACTTTTGTTTGAAAGGAAGTTAATCTCAGGTCTAAGTTTTCCTTAACCTTAACTATAAAAAAAAAAGGAATTAAAAACATGCGCACTTCTAGAAGAGCATTATTTTGTTTAAATCATATATTATCAGTCGTATCTGGATACCTAAAAAACAACAACAACAACAACAACTACCCCTGTGACATCCACCCCCGGATAACCACCCCAGTCAACTACCCCTAGGACAACTACCATCTCGGACGACTACCCCCCCCCAGGACGACTACCCCCTAGGACAACAACCCCGGACAACTACCCCCTAGGATAGTTATCCGGGGGTAGTTGTCGTAGGGGTACTTGTTGTTGTTGTTGTTGTTGTTTGTTTTTTTGTTTTTTTTTGGGGGGGAAGAGTTTTCCAGGGGTAGTTGTCCCGGGGTGTAGTTGTCTTAGAGGGTGGTTTCCCTAGGGGGTAGTTATCCTAGGGGGTAGTTGACTGGGGGTGGTTATCCGGAGGTGGATGTCCAGGGGGTAGGTGTCCTAGAACCATTATCAGTATCATTATTTTTTTTCGGGTTCTTGGCGAGGCTTGTGAGTTCTTGCATTAATTTTCTACATTTTTATCGCTTATATTAATTTATAATCAAGAATATTTTCTTGGGGGCTTGAAGATTTTTGTTGGCAGGGCGTTGAGCTCCGTAGTCCCCATCTAGAACCGCTACTGTTCATACAGTATAAAATCATACATTTATTAAAAGCTAACGACAATCAACATTATCACATGATCCATCAAATCAACTCACTGCATGCTGATCCTTCGTCTGACTGGTCTCCGCAGTCGTTCTCATGGTCACATAGAAAAACATCCCTGATGCAAAGACCATTCCGACAAGCAAACTCCTCCGGCTCACAAGTGCGTATAGCTGGGAGAAAAAAAAAGAAGAAAGAAAGAACGAGGAAATCAACAATGGTAATCATTACAGCAGAATTTCGATTGGTACAGAGAGTTTAACAAGGGAGGTTAGGCCAACGTAGTTTTCTTTTTGTTGAAAAATGACTGGGGCGTCAACTTGCATTGTTTCTGTTTCATCATTAAGCTGATGACTTTTGTCACTTTTCTTTTAATTCCAGGGGCCAATAAAATCACCTTCTTGGAAATATCACTGAAATTCACTCAACGGCATATTTACCAAGTTCTATAAGATGACAGTATTGGAGAAAAACTTGTCGCTGTTATTCAGCTCGTTTGATTTTGTACAAAATTACCCCCCCCCCCCCAAAAAAAAAAAAAGTACCAGTGGCGCAACGAAGATCAAGCTAGTGTCGGTGACCCTACCGTAACCATTCCTATCAAACCAGTGTACTTACTGCAGTTCTGGAATTCATCATCCCCCATGGCACAATCAATCTCTCCGTCACATACAGCTGACACGGGGATGCACCGGTTCTTGAGATGCTTCTTCTGATCACATTTGTAGAAGTTCTCAGGGCAAACATATTCCGCTATTCAGAATCAAAAAGAATGTTTTCATAGTTTAAAGCAATATTAATTTGATCGAGTTTGGTATTTGTGTTGTAATTCATCTACATGATATGGTTTATTACAAAAAATGTTTTATACTTTCTTACAGTTAAATAGAATGAATTGAAATGTTGCCACAAATTTACTTCAATTTCGTTTGGAAATTCCGGAATAAACAGGAAGAATTGAACGAATTCCGTCAATTTCAAGTTATAACATATTATTGATAATTAGTCAACTATATTCATTAATTTGAAATGTCAAAGGCCTTTACTATTTTGAAAGGACTTCGAGTAATCTATTTACAAATCATTCATTTATTCGTTATCAATAATTCCAATAACATATAATAATTTATATCTTTAACAGAATTAATATTCAAAGCTGACTTAGAGGCTCGCACATTACAGAAAAAACAAAGGACCTTCCAAAAATCAACAAAGGACAATTTAAATACCCTAGCATGTTTACTCTGGTAATCCCCTCCTTACAAGCCCTTGAGGCTTTTTTGGGGACACCCTTTTCTTTCATTTATTTGTATTTCTAGCTCTTATGTATGTATTACTCTGTTATTTTTTATGTAAACATGAAATTATGCATGACATACTGTAAACTTGTTTGTTTTTTAATTGTACATATTGGAAGAAATAAATGAGAGCTATATGCTCTCTCAATCAATACCCTATTGCAAGTCTTACAGAAACCATGTTCTCATTACGTAATACTTCATCGTCATGTTCACACATTCCAATTGATGACGCACAAGGCAATTGAAAATCCATTAGGATGATTTGTTGAAAGTAGTTGGTATCGTGTTTTAATGAAATTGTGCTCCGCTCATGTAAAATGTCATCGTAATGACCGCACATTTCAAAATGTGATTAACAATGGTATTACGAATTCATTAGGATAATATTTTGAAGGCTATCGTGTTTTAATGAAATCATGCTCAGATTACGTAAAAAAGGCATTGTAATGTCCGCACATTTCAAAATGTGATTAACAAAGGTATTAACAATTCCATAATGTAATATTTTGAAGGCTATCGTGTTAAAACCATTTCCGGCCACTATAGTAACAAGAAAAGTTTAGAGTTCTTACGGCATGCACGGTATTCATCTGACTTATCGGGGCATTCTGGGATCCCATCACATTCCCACTGTTCGGTGATACAGGTGCCATCGTCACAGGTAAAGAGACCGGAATGACACGTGAAATTGGGAGAGGCTGGAGGGAAGAAAAGGATGAAATTAAATGAAATTCATCATGAAAAGGCAATAAATCACTGATGTATGGCTTTAATCTAGGATTGTACCATCACGGTTGGTAACAGTCCCATCATCAAGAACACCGTCTCTATAAACGACAACCAGCAAATATCGCAATCATCACGCCCACCATGATCACTATCAACATTCATCTCTTGGATATACTTATATCTATACTCATCATTCTTATAATCACTATAATTACAAGCTTGCATTAACTTTCAGTGAGAGAAGAGAAATTATCAAACATCGAGATGCACTGGCGGATTTAGAGGGAAGTGTACGAACAGCTTTTGCCCTCTTTCAACACCCAATTGGCCAATTTGTTTTCGCTGCCGGCCGTACGAATCCTAGACCCAAGAGCCAGATGAATGTGCAATAATTCTCTTACCCCCTCTTTCTCTCCTCTCTCTCGCCCCCCCGTCTCTCTCTGTCTTCTCTCTCCCCTCTCTCTCTCTCTCTCTCTCTCTCGCATGTCACATTTTTAAAATTATGCAACTGTCGACAAATCGTGTATCTGCCCCCGTATCAAGAGAACTCTGCTTTATATTCTTACTGCAAATGTCTTGGACTTCGTCGTCACGATCAGGACAATCGGCCTCTCCGTCGCAGAACCAAGCTCCTGGGATGCATTTACCGCTTTGGCACAAGAAATTGTCCGGGGCACATGTTCTGGCCTCTGTAAAACAAAACAAAAAGAATCAATTAAATTTATCTTATAGAATCGTTTTCAAGAGTGACGTAGCGTGGGAACCACGGGGTGGGGGGGGGGGGGGTGTATGGGGAGGTGCATTGCATGACGCCATAGGGGATTGCAAATGTTAGGCGAATGAAATAAAAGAGGACATAGATGAAGAGATGTGTATCATCTTCTTTTCACTCTGCATTTCCCTTATTCCTTTCGTTCTATACCTTTCTCTCATTTTTCTTCTCTGTTTCAAATGGGGATGGGGGCGCCATGCGATTTTTCTTCTAGACAATGATCATAATTCAAGATTCAAAACACAAACCATGGTTAAACCCAGCAGTCTACTGTCGGCCACAAAGAAATTCGAGGATGTGGTGGAGTTGTTTGTTTGTTTGTTGTTGTTTTTTTTTGGGGGGGGGGGGATGTTGTCATTTTGGAATTGAAAAGGGCCTTAAGATGTGATATATTTTATGGATGCACCACATAATTGTACATGTACAGATATAGTATAATTATCCACAAACGCCCTACTTACCGCATAAAATGTTGGCTTCGTCTGAGTTGTCCCCACAGTCGTTAGATCCATCGCATACCCACTGGGGTGAAATACAGATATTACTGGTCTCACACTGCACCGTTCCTGGTGGACACGATCTCTCCGCTGTGGAAGAAGAAATAGGGAAAAACGAGAGATGGGGTGAATTAATGGCGGATGAATACTTCTTCTTTAAGACCAAGTTATTTTTTAAATTATATATTTGACTTTATGGACAATGTGGCATGATAAATATAAATATGTGATATTATATGCTTTGCTTTGCTGTATATTAAAACAGCACATAAACCAAATTTGTCCAGTATCACTGCTAGTTCCTTCAAAGCTTGTTTAAGAGTGTCGCGACAACGATCTTGAGAAAAGCCCCTTTTACTAGCGTACGTAGATAAATTCGTGTTGAGAAGGGAAATGCGTGCAAATGAGTTAACATGCTCATTAAGAGGAATATTAATAATCATATCCAGTAAAATGGTTGGCCTTAAAAAAAAGGTTGACACTGTGTCAGTGGAGGGGATGGCGTGGAGTTGGAGGGAGGGGTGACGTAAAGGGGGTGGAGGGGGAGGGGTGAAGGAGAGTGGGGAACTTACGGCAACCGAGTTCATCACTAGCCTGTCCGTCTAGACACTCATCAAAACCGTTACACACTGTCGTGTTGGATATGCAGAAGCCGTTCGCACATTCAAAGTCTCCTGGGGCACATGTAACAAATGCTGAAATGGAAATAGAAAGATATTTAAGTACATTCAAATGAACCAGGAACAAAATTAAACAACTAGGCGTATCATCTCTGATGGGTTAATGGTGTCCTTTAACATGAGGTAGTAGAAAAAACTATCATATGGCGTATACAACCCAAGCGAAAGGCAAGCAATGGTTATGATTTTTGTTCGTTCTCAAGTACACACAAATGACATTATTTGTTCCTTTATTCATCTATTTATTTATTCATTCATTCATTCCTTCGCTCGTTCATTAATCTATTCATTTATTTATGTATCTGTTTATTCATTTATGTAATTAACTTTTTATTCATTCATTTATTTATTTATTCATTCATTCATTTCCACATGGAAAGTCTCAAACATAACTACAAGAAAGAGACCTACCACATATTGCCTGATCTTCGTCACTGTTATCAAGGCAATCGTCGTAGAAATCACATTTGAACTGAGAAAAGATGCATCGTCCGTTGGCACATGTGAACTGATCTACACCGCACTTATGGTCGTCTGTAAAAAAAAGAAAGGAGATGATAGAATTACATTTACATGTAAGTCACATACTGTAAGATACTGTGAAGAGGTGGGGTGCTAGCTGTCCTTGGGGGCGTGGATCATAATATGATGACACATGAGGAAGCGAAGGGAACGATTGGTTAAGGTTTGGGGAGGCAATATCTTTATCATTATCAACTCACAATCATTTTCCCTTTTCTTCCCCCCACCCCAACTTCTCGTATGCGTCTTTCCCTCCTCTCCAGTCTATCTCTCTCTCTCGGCTTTATCAGAAATGCCGCGGTAAACCGCCGCAAAAAAAGCTGCCGAGGTTTACCGCAGCATTAACAACGTTTATTAACAATGTGTAAGTGGATGGCAACAAAGGATTTGCGTATTCACTGAGCTCCATGTTATAAGAAACAGAAATGTGAACCGTATTGCCCTTTAGGCCATCATAACAAAAAAACTATAACGAGGCTTTACAGTACCCCTTCTTGTGCTATTAAACCGGGTTACTGAAATATTCAAAGTTATGTATGTTCCTTTCATGGGAACCTAATAACGAGTAATTTTCCCATTAATACATGTTATTCATTTGAATCCAATCTGCTTACCGTACATTACTTGTTGCTAAGTCGGGCAAGCATCGGACAGTCTTACAGGTTACCAAGAACACTCTTTGTTTAAAAAGCATGCAGAAAATTTGAATGTGTTAGTAAACCGATCTAATTGGTTAGGGACAAGTCCCCATGTCCCCCAAAATAGTTATGTCAGAGTCGATCCTACTATCTGTATGATTGTCTTCAAGACTTAACAATCCAAAGACTGGCATTAGGTTATTGGTCGGTATTCACAAAAGTGGACTAGCATGTAGCAAAACTTAAAATGTACATATTTATGAATACCTCTAATTCAAACAGAAATATCACTATCTTCATACTTACAGCAGTAATTTGTGCCCTCATCGGAAGCGTCAGGACAGTCTGCTGATATGTCACACGCCTGAAGGAGGGATATACACTTCTCGCCATTGGCACATGTAAACTGAGTCTCTCCATTGCAAACTGTGGCATCTGGTGCTGCAATCATAGAAAAAAATTCTTCAATTTAATATTTCAAAGGTGGCATTTAAATATATGCGTAAATGAATGATACCTTACCTATTTGCATTTTTTTAATAATAAATTCTTAAAGCATTATTTCATATCCATAGCATATTGTGTGCGTGTGGGTGTGAGTGGGAAGGTACCGTGTAAATAATACTATTATTAAAACAAATATTGGAATGAGTCGGTCAAAGTTCGTCATATGTAAAGAAGCAAAAATATGTATGTTGTAGACATAAATCTGTCCTTTCATAAAATGTGATAACCCCCTTTTTATTTCCTTTTGGTACTTTTCCACCTGTGCAGTCCGGATAAATAAATCTTGGATTCTTCACCGGCATAATCATTTTTAAAATTTCCTTTTCTCTATATATAAAAGACAATGTCCTGTTCAACTTGACGACTTATATATTTTTCCTTTTTTTTTTTGGGGGGGGGGGTTAAATTGAGACTGATGTATTTTCATTTTCCTCGTCTATTTCCACCTAAAGATGGTCTGTTATGATAGTAAAAAAGGTTTATACTTACGGACACATACTCTGTCATTATTTGCTATCGTCCTGTTGTCTGTACAAGAGCATATTACCCCGCCCGACGCGGACAGGGGCGTACATATATCACTGCATCCTCCGTTGAAATTATCACATGTTGGAACTAGAAGAAAACAGAAGAGAAATATTGATTTTGTAAAATATCTTCGACATTATTATATAATTACAGGGGCATTTTGATACCCAGTCATATCGTCAGACTAACTCAAAACAGACTGACCACCCATCAAATATTGTCCGTTTTAGGATAATGTAATAATTTTGATCGGTCTGTTGTGGAGTTTTGGTGTAAATGGGGTATGATAACTTAATTTCATATTGGCACTCCACGGTAAAAGATCATTTTTTGATAAATTTACAATGAGGAGGCGCGATTGCTCAGTGGTAGAGGAGTAGTTCGTAACCGAGAGATCCCGAGTTCGAAACCAAGTCAATGCGCTCGTGCCTGTTAGTATAGCATTCATTTCATTCACCAAGTCCACCGGAGAGGAATTTAAGACGTCGGTCCCCTTGTTGCTTATTTACAAGCATATACATGCTTTCTAAGCAATCAGCTAAAAAATAGTCAAACAATTATGCTCTGCCAACAATTACAATTATTTAGCCTTGATATGCAGTTGTATAGGCCTATGTAATTATCGATATTTACGATTTGCTGAGACAACGCATTGAAATCTTCAATCGAAGTCGAAACCACCTATGCATAATGCTGTATTAATCTTGTACATCAACTCAAGGCCTACATCCCTCATAGATGATTTGTCAACCAGTTAATGTATGAGCAATGTATATAGGTCTCATATTATATTTCATTGTCTTCACTACTTATACATTATGCATATACTGCGATATTCAAGATAAATGGCTCCGAAAGTCTGTGGCTGATTAAATCCCTTGTGAATGCTAATTGAATGTATAAACTAGAGACGCAAAATGTGGCTTGTATTTTATTTCATACTGCGCACTGACATTTTTCTTCCAGGGACTTTTTCTCTTGAGGTTAATGCGAATTACTTCACTATAAAAAGTGTCGTTATATAACGCTGCATGAATCTATCAAAGATGTGAGAAATTGTACGGGAAAGTTGGAAGAAAAAAAATTAATGTTCAAGATAAATGGCTTTAAAAGTCTGAGGCTGATTAGATCCCTTGTGAATGCTAATTAAATAAACAAACTAGATACGTAAACTTGGTGTGTATTTTGTACTGCACACTAACATTTTCTTACAAGACGTTTCTCTTTGATAATAGGGACTTTTAGATTTGCGTGGACTGATACGTGTGACGTCCATTCAAGGCAGTGCATTAAAAGGACGTCGATCGTAGCAATCCACGTTGTCATTGTGCAAATCTAAAAGTCCCTAATGATACTCCCATCTACATTGAAGCCCTAGCTATACATGTTTATGCATGATGTTGTAGTATCGCCATTTGGCTTACCATAGTCACATACACATACACGCATACAGTACAACAACATAGAGAGACAGTGACGTTGTAACTAGGACAGACACAAATAAAACGTGCCAGTGTAGCAGCTACTGAACTGATATCTGAAGTGTGACTGTGTCATTTATTAGGACCCAATCATTACAATGGCGACGAGATGGCGAGGGTAGTGTTCACAGACCCTCTAGATTCAAACCCACTGCTAGTTTGGAGTTGGACTGGATGTTATTGTTAACAGTTTTAGCTACATTGACAGACTTTTCGCATGCAACGAGTGTATCGTCTGCACGCAGTGCTCCTACATGATGTCGTGCAGTGAACGTGAGTGTGCAGTATCAGCCTATGCATTATACATGATTACCGCTGTTCTGTGAACTTGTGCCTAGTATCATTAGCCATGAATCTGCCTCAATTCGAACGCTTTCCAGTTCATGAGGATCCCACCAATGTTGGTGTCAGGTGGGAAAAGTACATGAAGCGGATGGAGAATTTCTTCACTGCCTTCCAGATCACAGATGATGCTCAGAAGAGAGCATTGTTGTTACACTATGCTGGTCCAGAGGTTTCGGATATCTTTGATACACTCCCAGGGACAGGTACAGATTTTAAAGGTGCTAAAGATGCACTTGACAAGCATTTCTCTCCAGCTCTTAACGTCGAGTATGAACGCTTTGTTTTTCGCCAATGTAAACAATCAACAGATGAAACCGTTGAACAATACCGTCTCAGACTTCAACAACTCTCTGCAACTTGTAAGTTTGCAAACACCAGTAGTGAAGTCAAGTCCCAAATCATCATGGGGTGTACGTCAAGTAAACTCCGCAGATACGCCCTGCGGGAGGAGGTAACCTTGCAGAAACTCCTCATGTCGGCGAAAACTTTCGAACAAGCAGATCGACATGCCACTGCTATAGAAGCTAATTCTCAAGATGCAGTCCAAGCTGTGAAATATCAACCAGCACCTGCTCCAGCTACAAATACAAACCGTTTTCAACAATCTCGCAATCGTCCATCTAGATCCTCCACTAAGTGTCGCAACTGTGGTGGGGCATTTCCTCACAAGCAGGACAAACCATGCCCGGCAAAAGGTAAACAGTGCCATTCGTGCGGGAAAATGAACCATTTCGCCAAATATTGCCGATCTAAACCTTGTACCCCGCAAAAGACGATCCAAGCTTCTACACATACTTCGGCACAGTCTACGGTAGACGACACCACTCATGACCCTGATGGCGACGCTTATGCCTTTCAATTTAACATCAACTCGAAAAAGGGCAATAAACCAATGGTGATGGTTAGTGTTGATGATAATGAGCCCCTTTCAGCACTGATTGACACTGGTTCTTCGGTGATGATGATGAGCAATGAAACATTCAGTCGTCTTAGGTCCAAGCCTCATCTCGTCACACCTTCCATCCCAGTGTATGCTTATGGTAGCTCTACTCCTCTTGATGTGATTGGGACCTTCCATGCAACTGTCAGATACAAGTCAAAATCGACGAAAGCTAAAGTCTTTGTTACCTCTCACAATGGAGACACGCTTTTAGACATCACCACGGCCACAGACCTAGACCTCATTGCTCTCACGTATAACTTGCAACCAGAGCAGACATATGCAGACCGTTTCAGTGGGATTGGTAAGCTAGCTAACTACAAGTGTCACCTTCATGTCGACAAGTCGGTGCAGCCTGTTGCTGTTCCGCACCGACGGATCCCGTTTCACCTTCGAAAACAGGTGGAGAGCGAACTTGACAAACTGCAGAAACTTGATGTCATAGAACCAGTTTCCCACACACCTACACCTTGGGTCTCTCCGATTACTGTTGTTCAAAAGCGAAATCGTGAAGACATACGCATTTGCGTCGACATGCGCAATGTCAATAAGGCTGTCATCCGTGAGCGCCACGTAATGCCAACAGTGGATGACCTCATCTCCGCTCTGAATGGTGCCACAACCTTCAGTAAGATGGATCTCAATTCAGGCTACCATCAGCTAGAACTAGATGAGGACTCTCGCCAATACACCGTCTTCTCAACTCATGCAGGCCTTTATAGATATAAACGTCTTAATTTTGGAGTCTCCTCAGCGTCAGAGATTTTCCAGCATGCAATCCAAGCAACGCTTCACGACCTACCTGGTGTCCTAAATATCAGCGATGATATTCTTGTGTTTGGCACCAACAAGGCTGAACACAATGCTCGTTTGGAAGCAGTCCTCAAGCGCCTCCGTGAAGTGAACTTAACACTCAATCAGAGCAAGTGTGTTTTCAACACTGACCATGTGGAATACTTTGGCCATGTCTTTTCAGCCAAAGGTATCAGTCCTGATCCCAAGAAGGTCGAAGCCATCCAGTCTATGCCTGAACCTCAGAACGTCTCTGAAGTACGCAGCTTCTTGGGTATGGTAAACTATTGTGCCCGATTCATCCCAGGCCTCGCCTCCGTTTCTGCGCCTCTTCGCCACCTAACAAAGGCCGACTCTGAGTGGGAATGGGGCACCTCACAAGCAGACGCCTTCGCTCAGATCAAACAGCGTGTTTCACAGTCCTGTACTATGGCATACTTCAATCCAGCAAGCAAGACTGAACTCATTGTTGATGCAAGCCCCCACGGCCTTGGTGCGCTCTTAGTTCAACATGACGATCATGACAACACTGTTCCTGTCGCTCTTGCTAGCAGGGCTCTTACAGAGGTTGAACAACGTTACTCCCAAACTGAACGCGAAGCCCTTGCTATCACATGGGCCATTATCCATTTCCATGTGTACCTCTATGGTGGTTCTTTCGTCGTGACTACAGATCACAAGCCACTGGTCACGCTCTTCAATAGCCCCACTGCCAAGCCACCACTTCGATTAGAGCGATGGATTTTGAAGCTCCAGCCATATGATTTCAACGTTCAGTACCGTCCAGGCAAGCATAACCCTGCTGACTATATGTCGCGTCATCCGCTATCTACGGAGATGTCCTCTTCGGATAATGAGTGCCTAGCTGAAGCTCATGTCAGTTTTGTAGCAGGTCACGCCGTTCCTAAGACAACGACCTTGTCTGACATCACAGCTGCTACAAAACAGGATCCTGTCCTCCAGGTTGCCATTGACGCGTTGGTAAATGACAACTGGAAAGATGTTCTCGCACATGCCACCGACACCAAATCAGAACTCCAAAGCCTGTTCAATGTTCGTGATGAGCTCACTGTGTCAAATGAGAGGGATTTTCTTCTCCGTGGTAATCGCATCGTCATCCCTCAATCCCTTCGCCAGCAAATAATTGACATAGCTCACGAAGGACACCAAGGGATCACGAAAACAAAGAGTCTTCTTCGTGAGAAAGTTTGGTTTCCGTCCATAGACCGAATGACCGAGAAGACAGTCCGTGATTGTCTAACCTGCCAAACAAACACAATCGAACACTCGAAAGAGCCATTGCTTATGTCACCTTTGCCCAAGAAACCGTGGTCAGAGATAAGCGTAGATTTTGCCGATCTTCCTACAGGAGAGCATCTCCTAGTGGTCATTGATGACTATTCGCGGTTCCCAGAAGTGGAAATTGTTTCCTCTACTTCCGCTAGACAAGTAATTCCAAAGCTTGATAGAATCTTTTCCAGTTTTGGGGTTCCCGACGTTGTTCGCTCCGACAATGGTCCGCCGTTTAACGGTCGAGAGTTTGCGGATTTTGCACGATATTTGGGATTCCAACACAGACGCGTGACACCTCGTTGGCCACAAGCAAACGGCGAAGTCGAACGGTTCATGAAAACACTGAAGAAAGCGTATCGTTCCGCAATCGCAGAAAACAGATCATGGAAGCAGGAGCTCTATAAGTTCTTACGCAATTACCGAGCTACCCCTCATTCCACAACTGGTGTTCCGCCAGCGACACTACTTTTTGGAAGAGCAGTTCGCACACGCCTTCCAGAGCATGCTTCTTCAGATCATCAGCCTCTCGATGGTTCCCTTCGCTCTCGTGATCATGCCAAGAAAGAGCGTATGAAAACCTATGCTGACAGCCGCGGCACAACTCGTAGCACGGAAATCAAAGACGGTGACACCGTGCTTGTTCGACGCGATGGTCTGGTTCCCAAACATCAGTCCCCGTATCTTCCTCAGCCATACACAGTGATCAGAAAGAGAGGAACCCGCATCACTGCCCGTTGTGGTAACCATTACATCACGCGTAATTCGTCACGTTTCAAGCGATATTGTGGACCTCTTCCTCGCTCTGCTCCTGATGATGATGAAATCGATTTTGACATCGCACTCGATGCCCGTGATGTACCACAACCACCACGTTTGGCTCAACCGCGTCGAAACCCCCAGCGTAATCGCCACCCCCCAATCCGTTTACGCGATTTTGTTTCTTGACTCTCTGCACGCAAACATACCCATGTGCACGTACTTCCCAATTGCATAACAAAAAATGCAGTTAACTTGTTAGTTTTCTTTATTCACATCATATAAACTCAACAGAACATGTTAGTTTTATATCGCACTTGAATTTCTGTTGGAAATCATTGGAACTGAAATATCCATGTAACTCCACTGTATTACTTATGTACTCTTGCAAAATAACCATTTATTTCTCACCCAGCTGGAAAGTAAACAGGCATTCAGTTTTTTTTTTTTCCAATGTCATGTGCATTGTTATGGAATACTGCTCCATGCTGACTAGAAAGTAAAGTACATTATTTTCTGTGCCATGTGTACATGTAATTGTCAGTTTATATGTGCCCTAACAGGTTTAGACCATTTATTTTCGTATACATGAATCATTTTCTTTTCATAACAGGACATGTAATGTGTTTCCTTTTTACATGCATCTTTATTTACCACTCTTTTATCTGCTTTGTCCTGTATCTCTCCGGCAGTTATATAATGTTCTATTTATATTTGTGTGAGCTGCCATACATATACTGTCATCAAGCCTGTATCACGCTAGACATTTAATCATTCTCTTGTCTGAATGTCGTACATAGCAGGAAGTTTGAGATATACAATTTTTTTTTAAGGAAAAGGAATGAAAGTAGTATCTACAATACTGAATAACCCCAGTTCATTCTGAATAGTTTTCACTCAATAATTTTGTTTAAAGACATATATTGCCTTTTATGTAGATACTCTTTTACAGCTACAAGAGGTTATAAGAGAGAAACAAAATGATCAAACTTTTTTATAATGTTAATAACGGTCTATCATTTGTTGTAGTAAATGTGATTCAAAAACAACAAAACGTTGATGCGAAAGGAAAGTTGTTTTTTGTTGTTGGATGTAGTAAAACTCAAATTTGAGGTATAAATAGCCTTCAGTAAAGCCAGGGCTATGTTTTATCACTGTTCTTTGTTTTGAAGAGTATTTAATGGTTTAATGATTTCTCACTCCTTGTGAATTGAGAAAAGAAGGTAAAATGTTGTTTGGTATAAACTCGTTCACCCAAACTTATTAATTGCTTTGTTTAATGGGGTTAAAAATATAACTCTAATGTATTTGTTGGCATTTGTTCAGTTGAAAAGTTGTGTTAGATTTCAAAGTTCAGTTTTTGTCTGAAAGAAGTAAAGAAAGTACTGGTTTCCAAAATATAAGACTAAAAAGTGGAAATACACAAGTTTTATGGATATATGTATGATATGAAAGGTTCATTCCATATCTTGGAAAGTATATTACTCGTGCTCATATTGCTTTTGATGCTTAACAAGATTTCTGTGGTAGATTCCATCCAAGGAAGGGAGGAATGTAGTATCGCCATTTGGCTTACCATAGTCACATACACATACACGCATACAGTACAACAACATAGAGAGACAGTGACGTTGTAACTAGGACAGACACAAATAAAACGTGCCAGTGTAGCAGCTACTGAACTGATATCTGAAGTGTGACTGTGTCATTTATTAGGACCCAATCATTACAGATGTATCTACCAAAGATGTAGGAAAGAAATTGAAGATAGAGGCTGGACACTCGACGGCAGAATTGACTGCATTTTCCAGTTTATCCGGTAATAAGGTCAGAAATAGCACAGGGAAATGGATCAAATACAACAATGTCATTATGACGTATATGATTACGTTTGTAAACCAGTGCGTTATTGTGATTTGTTGACAATATCCAAATTCTTGAAACTGTAATTAATCACCTACCAATGCCTTACTCACGCCATATAAGGCTCCACACTGTTATAACGCAGCTTGGATCGGAACGGGGGTATTAACATAACAAAACACTCAATTCTTTATTCACCCTTTCGGCTCTGGAGAAAGGATGATTACGTAACTTTCTTACCATGGACCATTGTACTCATTCTAAGGGCAGAAGCGATTGTCTGCAAAGACCGAATGGAATTTCGTGAACTGTATTATAGAACCTTACGAGTCCTCATATTGTATGCAATCTTCACCATGAATACATTCCATTTCATGGTACATGCATTAGGTTTTCATTCTGCTCACGTTTATTTTAAACGATGACTCACAGAAATCACCAACTAAAAAGATCTGGAAAGTTATTTGATATTCATCCATTACTTAAACTATAATCGGGAAGTCAACTGCAATTAAAAGAACGGTTGTTATTTAAAAGATATGACCACTTCATTTGTTGTCTTGATTTTGATCATCGTTATTTCTCAGTCGTTACAGAAGCCGTATAAGTATATATATTCCTCAAGATTGGGACTATATTCACGTCTGATATTGAAGCTGTCTCCGTGTATTATAGGCATATTTTTGTATATATGTTGTATTCGTAAAGTAACAGATGTAGTGTGTTCATCTCCTTACAATGTAGACATATATATCTGAATCTATGATATATCTGGCTAAGAATTCCAAGAGTTATGTTTTTAGACATATGGTTATGATTACTAATATATCTTAAGATAGAAATTTATATAAAAACATAATAAATGCAACATTCAATTTAAAAATGGTAGAAATTTGTTCCAAGAAAGAATGAGAATCAATAGTCCTTAACAATACTCATCGATTTCAGTATAACCTTTTCATTCATTAAGATACTAAATGTGTTAAAGTTGTTAACGAAATGCTTCCATGTAAAATGCAAGTGTGCATTGCAATTGCAGTGTGATGGTAAAAAATTTAAAACTATATTACTACTTTTCAATACTTTTAGCTACTGCTATAGAGCTACGACATATATACATATACATGCATCACAACTCGTGTAGTTATTTTATACTAACACTATCAATCTTATGTTCATCTCATTCTATATTACATTTTACATGACACAAAATAAACATTACATGTTGATTGGAATTACCCTAACTACATCAGCTGCATCTCATGAAACAAGATGCATTTGTGACAAATACGATATTTTAATAATGAGGTTGTACCTTATGAAGACAAAGTGGGGTCTAAGGGGAGGGGTGGAAGGGGTCAAATTAAAGCCAATACCGTATTCACTGCTTTCAAAGAATTAAACCAAAAGCAAATCTTGGCAATCTCAAGAAGGATATCCTTTTGAAAGTGTTCACTGTTGGTTGAAGACGTCACAATGACCTTGAACAAAGATGGCTTTTCAATGTCACCTTAGGGTCATTCAGAAGGATCTATTCAAGTTTCCATTAGCTCCTGGCATAGAAGGATTACAAACCACCATGTAAAGCCCTTTAGCTTCAGATCTTTACATCACATTCTTTGGTGGTTTGTTAAACTCTAGAACAGTGATTTACGGCTCAAAAATTATTCTCAATTTTCGAGACTCATTCATTTTATTTTTGCATAAATGACTAGCCTCATTACTATTTACTGATGCAATCACTATATCAGCATATCAGCAACATATCATTAATTCATTTATTCGTGTTGAAGATGACTTTTAATTCCTTCGAGTTTTAGAATGAATCCAATTGCAGAGAAAAAGCAATATTGTAGAGAACATATCTAAATCTTGTCTCTTTTCTTCATGTATTATTTGGATCATTCTCGATTTAATTTGTACCAAGCTTTCGAAATAGGAAATTATGATATGGTGATGATAATTAGAGGAGTAGTAGTAGTAGAAGTGGTAGTAGCAGCGGTAATAGAAGTAATAATAATCATAATAATAATAATAATAAAAACATTACTATCACCACTACTACTAATACTTAATACTAATGATGCTAATGGTGATATGATGATGATAATGATAATAATAATAAAAACAGTACAAATGATAATAATAACAAGAATAATCATAACAAAAATGCTAATTATATCATTTCAAAGTGTAGATAAATCAGTGAACATGATGATTATTATCATTTACACTTTCAATAAATCAATAAATGATAATTTATCAATTGCTATGATGGTTGTGCACACACAATGATGAATCATATAAAATTTTGAGCATCATCATTTTGATGCTTAATCAATTGTTGGAATACTTTGCAAGAGCACAATAAAACTTGAACAATCTATGACCATTATGAATTATGGGAAAAGGAAATCAAAATATTGCGACCACGAGACTTGTTTCCAAGGCAACTGTATGTAAATTATGATTCAAATGGTAAGTAATGTTTTGCTCTTATCTGCTATCTTCTCATGCTCCATCGTCTATGCACATACAAAAGCAAATAACTCATTTTATGCAACCAAAAATCAAGGAATAAAAGTATGCAATAAACTCACGTTGTCCACTGACTAATGATATTGCCAAAGCTGTTAAAATAGCGAAAATATACGTCCAATTCCGATGTGATCTTGGCATTCTGAGTTTTCCTATTGGCGTTGAATTACAGAGAGTCTTGTACATGCCTTCCTCGCATTATTGCACTTTCTTCGCGAATAACGGATCGTCGTACGTAACATCACGAAGCGGGTATGGCGTACAGCTACAAGTATGTGGCTACCGGGGGTGGTAGTTGATTCCATTCATGAAACTCATCCATGCGTCGCTTTATCCTTTCATTTTCATCCAATGATGGAACCTTCGTTGTTCTACGTCAACAAGCTTTTACTGGATTAAGGTTGACCCATGACCATTTTACGAAATATTGAAAAGGGTTTAATTCCTGGCCATTTTGAGGGGCGTTGGCGATTGTCTTTTGATATTTCGTAGGTGGGAGGGGGACTGACTCATTAGGACTAGGTCTATTATACATGTATCGCTTCCATCTTCATCATCTCGTAAATTTACCAATTTCAGTCTGCACGATCTTTTTTAGAATGTTAAGCGCTAATAAACTCTTTTAATATATTTATCACATTTTTGATTGGTATTGTTTAACACGTATATCAATTAACCTCGTACAGCAGTAAATGTATTTCTGTAGTGTTACAGTAGAACAAGCAAATTTTAAGAATTGTCATAACATTGAAATGCTGTGGTAGTACGTGAGTAGGCTTAATAGGGACTTTTAGATTCTGCACGACGAGAACGTGGACTGCCCTTTTAAGGCAATATGACGTCCTTTTAAGGCATTGGCAGTGACGCCACATTGCCTTAAAAGGGCAGTCCGCGTTCTCGTCGTGCAGAATCTAAAAGTCCCTATTGTCTCCGATATGGAGCCTTTGATCATGTTAGAGGGAATGTGACTGGAGATTAAATGTATCATTTTATTTGGATCAAGGAAAAGCATACAGGCAAACGAACAAAACAGCTAACATAGAAATGGTTGACTGATTATGTAGGCCATTTATCTGCATCGCTGCTAAATGCTAGATTTTTTAAATATAAAAAATGATAAGGCGTGCATAGTGGTTTCAAAGGGAAAACATAGACAAACGAAATTTATTCTACAAGGGTGCTCTATTAAAAGATTGGTGTGTGTGTGGCTTTAGGACATTGGTAGAACATGGGGCTACACACTCTCCTCTAAGAATGTCTCTCTGCAAATCTGTTATTGGTTATAATTTATTATGTTGGTATTTGCTTTTAGCCTTTGTTGATGTCTATAATGTCTATGGACAGAGATATCTTTTTGTATTTGTATAACAAAGACAAGAAAAACCATGGTGTCCCGATACGCGACGACAATATATAGTCATGACATGTATATAGATGGCTCTGATAACAGATATGTATCATTTAATCAGTCGAAAACTACTAGAGTGTTAAGTGGGTGGGGGGGGGGGGGGGCTTTTGGGGGTGAAGCCCTCTCAAGTGCGGACCCCCTCCCCCCAAAAGATAAATGCTCCTATATCTAGTAACTCACTGTGGGCTTCGACAGCTTGCGACTAGTTGGAGACACAACAATTACATTTGGAATCACACTGAGTTGGTATACGATTCGTGATTTTGTCACGCTCCCATATCTTGGAAGCAAGACACAGCGTAGCCTTCGGCTGGTATAGCGTTAGTCAATCTTGGTTTTCGGACGAGAAGTATAGTGGATAATTCGTACATGTAGCTCAGCAGTCTTGTCAATTTGAAACAGAACATGCAATATACCTGATGTTAGAAGGTCCGCTGTCAATGAATACGAATATCTAAATAAACATGAAATAACCTTATGGAGCTCTTCGTCTTTGCTGACCATTAGCTGATTATGCCCTATTCAAGTGTCTTTTATTTCATTAAAATATATAGACGTTAGCTACGACACTCTCCAAACTTTGAATTTATATTACCCCTTTAAAACAAAAAAGTTCCGCCTGAAATAAAAGGGCTTCTTCCACAAACTCCCAGGTAGCTAGCAATATAATAAAACGTCCGAACCCCTCACATTCCCTCACAGACCACAACCGCGGAGAATACAGAAATAGAGAGAGAGAGAGAGAGAGAGAGAGAGAGGGGGGGGGGGACGAGAGAGAAAGAGATGAGAGAGAGAGAGAGAGAGAGAGAGAGAGAGCGAGAGCGAGCGAGAGGGGGGGGGGGGTGGATTAGATTCTTTTTTTTTGTATTAGTCAAATTAAATGTAACCTACATGTAAATACAAAGATTACACGATATTAAAAAATGAAACCTAAATAATAATAACTTGAAAGGATGACGGCTGAAATGATTATATAATGCATTGTTACGTAACACTCTTTTCAGTTTATACAAAACTGAGGGATAGGAGAGTTAAAAAGAGTTGAGATGAGATGATAGAGAGAGAGAGAAAAAAAGATGGAATGAGATGAGGAAGAGAGAGAGAGAGAGAGAGCGAGAGAGAGAGATGGGCGGAGTTTTGAGGGAGGGGAAAATGGGGGGGGGGGGGGGGGTAGGAACGTAATGTAGCTAAACTGCCAGAGAGCTAAACTTTTGCCAATAAAGTCCGAATAATTTCTTTCTTACTTCATCTCTTAAAACCATTGTGACTACATGGTTAATTCTTGATGAATAAAGTTTACATCTTCTCATAAATGTATTTATTTCTTTAAAGAGTCACAGAGATGTATCAATATTTTTGAGAAGATATAAATTTTGCTTATCAAGAGTAAACCATATTGCCACCAAACTTCTTCAATAGAACAACAAAAATCTAATAACTTATGGGTGACAGGGTAATATCCACATCATATTTTAAATATATTACCGTGAGCATCAGGTTGCGCTAGGATTAATGTTTTGGCTACTATTAGAAACAGGCATCTACGATTTTGCACGATCTGATTATCTGGAATCGCCCGCCCCTTACGTTCATTTTCGCTGAATATCCATTCACCATTTATAGAGACATGCTGGATGTTTGGATGGCTACGAGAATATTTTTGTTAAAGGAAAGTGTTTCTAGGAGGAATGACATTATCTATAATAATAGATTTGTTTTTATCGATGGTCATGTTCATTTCGATGAGGGATTATTTAACAAAAATGTTTATAAGTTGCATCATATTGTTGATAAGGAAGGTAATATAAAATCTAATGAGGAATTTCAAAGAAAAGGTTTAAATAGTTTAGAAATTAGTAAAATACAACGTATTTTTCTTGGCATCCCGTCTACATGGAAACAATTTTTAAATAAAAATACTCACTCAAATATAGATAGGGAATTGGATATGGATATTATTATGTTTGAAAAGGTATATATGTTAGATCAAATAACCTCAAAAATTATATACGCTTTTTTATTAAATAAGAAAGTAGAAAAATCATATGCAGAACGACATTTAGAACAGACTTTTAATATTCATGGAAAAGATATACAATTAATATTTTTAAGACTTAGAAAGTGCACATTGAATAGTAAGCTTAGAGAATTTCAATTTAAAATGCTTTATAATATTATATATACCAAATTACATTTATATAAATTTAAAATGGTTAATAGTAATTTATGTTCTTTTTGTGGTAAATATGAGGAAACTTACGAGCATTTATTTTGTCTTTGTGAGAAAGTAATAGTGCAGCGGCTTAGCAAGAAAATTGTGCACTTTTTGATAAAAGCATGAAACTTCCAGCATAGTTAGCTTTCACCATAAGATTTATTTTCAGATGTGGAGGGAAATGAGATTTGACCTCTGATGACCCTGAGAGGTCAAATTCAAAATGGCCGCCAGTCCGCATGGTCTAATGTACAGACACGCTTAGTTTTTTAACCATATAGTCCAAAAACACATTCAAGGTGTCATTTCCAACTAAATTGGGGATGCCAAATCATTTAGTAATACTTTTGAGATCGCCAGAATTCAGGGTTTTGCATTAAGGTCAAGGTCAAGGTCAAAATTGAGTTTTGAATGTTTACAACAACAAAATCCCATTTATTTGTCATTTGTTTACCCCTATGATCTCAATCTTTTTTAAGAGTGGTTCCCCTGCAGACCATTAGATTCATTTTCAGATTTGGAGGGAAGTCAGATTTGACCTCTGATGACCCTGAGAGGTCAAATAAAAAATGACCGCCAGTCCCGCCTATTCTAATACACTTAACTTTTGAACCAAATACTCTAGAAAAACGATTGAGGTGTCATTTCTAACTAAATTGGGGATGCCAATTCATTTGGTAATACTTTTGAGATCATTTGAAATCAGGGATTTGCAATAAGGTCAAGGTCAAGGTCAAATTAGGCCCAAAAAGTGATTTTTTTTTTTTGTTTGTTTTTTGTTGTTGTTTAAACTTTGCCTCTATTTTGACAATAAAGGAGTCATTATTTACAAAAAATAAATAAAAAGGACACATGTACCACCACTTTGACTACCCAGGGCAAAATTTCATAGAGCTGCTTAACGGCCAATTGTGCTTACGTACGAGTTACTACTTCATAGCGCTGCTAACCGTATAAGCACACGAAAATGCATACTATAAACCTAACGGTGCTTACTGCAGGAAAATGAATTTTTTAACAATGCAAATCCATTGTGAACGCGCAAGGTGGACACCTTGTTTTCTCGATAATATGTGAGACCTATATGCTAACCTGCTTGAGCAAATTTGTCTGCTACAGTTAGCACGAAAATTAGCTTACCGGTAAGCAGCTTTATGAACCTGGGCCCAGAAGACAAAAAAAAAAGCTATTCCAAATACGAACCTGCTCATTACCACAGCTATAGTTATCCACATAAATTTAGCACTGCATGTCCACAAAATCAAAATCTAACAGTCTCCAGAACAAGAGCACAGTGCAGTGCACTTGAGTGCAGCTTTGGCACATTTGCAACGTCCAGTGCACCCTTTCTTGCAGCGACAGTGTATCAATTCATGGCACGATTTTGATGCCTCCGGGAGAGTGGTCCAAAGAGGCTGCCACCCAGTTGTTTCATTTGTCCAGCCCCAGTCAGATGGCTCTGGCATCTCTGGATTCTTGGCCAATGTCTGGTTCCAACAGTTGGCCTGGTAGCAAGTGCGCTTGATGTGCTGCTTAAAGGCTGCCTGGGTTGGAGGAATGTTCTCAAGGTTTCTAGATTTCTGTGCGAAGAGCTGTTTCCTGGCATCATTCACTTCTATGCTCTCACTGGTTCG